CACCTACATCCAGAGAGCACTGTGCACTCAAAAAAAATGATGGAACTGGACCAAACTCAGCATGAATACTCAATATGCCCAAATGTGAACACTGACGGAGTTTGGGGAAAATTGCCCTTGACATTTGGGAATTGTGATTGCTGGGATTCATAGCTCACCTACAACCAAAGAGCATTCTGAACCCAACCGATAGAGTTGGGCCAAAATTCCCGCACAGTACCACCATGAGCAAGAGAAAATACTGTGTTTTTGATGGTCTCTGGTGACCCCTCTGACTGCCCCTCGCAACCCCCCCCCCCGGGGTCCTGACCCCCAAGTTGAGAAACTCTATTCTAGATCCTCGTACAAACATTAAAGCATTGCCAACCCACCTTAAATCTTGTGGAATCATGCAGTTTACAATTTAGTGAGACCCAGCTCCCTATGAACCATCTAGGACAGGGGTCCTTAAACATTTTAAACAAAGGGCCAGGTCACAGTCCCTCCAACTGTTGGAGGGCTGGATTATAATTTGAAAAACACATGAATTCCTACGCACATGGCACATATCTTATTTGTAGTGCAAAAAAACACTTTTAAACAATACAATATTTAAAATGAGAACAATTTTAACAAATATAAAATAGAAACAAATATAAACTTGTTACTATTTTAATGGGAAGTGTGGACCTGCTTTTGGCTGATGAGACACAATTGTTGTTGTTGTTGTGTGCTTTCAAGTCATTTCAGACTTAGGTTGACCCTGAGTGAGTGTCGGCTAAATGACCTTGGAGGGCCGTAACCGGCCCCCAGGCCTTAGTTTGAGGACCCCTGATCTAGGAGTTTAAGATAATCTGGGGAGACCCTGCTCTCCCCGCCTTCTTCAGAGGCACAACTGGTGGGGATGAGAGACAGGGCCTTCTCAGTGGGGGCCCTTCGGCTGTGGAATTCCCTCCCCAGTGACATTAGATCGGTGGTGGCCCCTCAGCTCTGGAACTCTCTCCCTAAGGACATCAGGCATGCCCAGTGGGCCTTCCCAGAGTAAGGAATATGTCCCCAAATGCACTTTAGTAGAGACCCAGGATATCTGCATGCCCCATCCCTCTCCAAATACCTACCCTTTTCACCTGGTGATGCCCAGCATATTTTTAATTTTAACTATTACATTTGGCCCTGCCATGGATTTTAATGCTTCGTTGTGTTTCGTTAATGTTTATTGCTTTGTTTTGAGTTCATTTGTTGTATTGTTGTTGTTGTGTTTTTACTGATGTATTTGGGCTCGGCCTCTTGTAAACCGCACCAAGTCCTCAGGGAGATGGTAGCGGGGTACAAATAAAGGTTTTATTTATCGTGTCATCAGCAACCATACCCTGCGGAAGGTCAGGAGGGAAGGGGCTGATCTAATAATAATAATAATAACAAAGAAAGTGTTCCGTCTCCCAAGAAATCTGTTTTGTTTCAGGGCTGTTGCAGTTTTGCAAAGCCTGCAGAGTTAGCAGTCAGAGGCAGGAAGGCCAGTTTGCAGGCTCTCTGCAATGATTGGCCCAGAGAGTAACTTTTGAGCCCGCCCCTTTTACCAGGTCAGACTTCCATTTTGGAGCCTTCCCTGCCCCATTCAGTTCTAAAGAAGCAATTGGATGTGCTAGAGGCCTGTTCAGGAATCTCCGAGAAATCATTGCAAGTAAAACAAATATATTGAGTAATTGAGACCTATAGATAGATAGATAGATAGATAGATAGATAGATAGATAGATGGATGGATGGATGGATGGATGGATGGATGGATGGATGGATGGATGGATAGATTCATTGAGTTATTGAGCTATAGAGAACAATTGAATACAGATAGAGTTTATTATGCTATAGAGAAATTATAGATAGATCAATAGAAGAGCTATTGAGTATTTAGATAGATAGTATTGGGCTTTGGCTCCAAAGCTGATTTTGAGTTATAGATAGAAAAACCTGCTTTTTCTTACCATAGGGATCTGGGGGGGGGGGGGGCTTGGGGGGCTTCAGCCCCCCCCCCCGAAATTCTCATAGTGGTCCGCGAGAAGGCCTTACTGGTACATTATTTAAACTGGTATGTTTATTCATATCATGATCTGATCACCATGCTCAATATATCCCATATGCATGGGGGTATTGGGGTAACGATACAAAAGGTTTGCTAGGGTAGACCCTCTTTCACTCAGACTCAGCCCCCCCCTGAACCAAACTCACCCCCCCCCCCGAAACAATTTCTTACCATAGGGGCTCAAGATTAGGGTAGAAGAATTCCACAATTCATTATACCTTTTGGAGGAAAGCTGCCTCAATATCTGTACTCATTGACTGTTTGTAACATTAATAAGCTGAGCCAAGTCTACAAGGACTTTGTTAATAAATACCCTGTTTGCTGTTTTAAACCTGAAGTGGACTCAGTTACTCAGAAGGTTTGAGCCTCTAAAGAAAGACCCCAGCGGTCCGCCCAGGCACATCATAAGGCGTTTGGGTGTGACGGCACATATTTATTATTATTATAATAATAATAATTATTAGATCAGCTCCTTCCCTCCTGACATTCCGCAGAAAAGTGAAAACATGGCTTTTTGAAGAGGGCCAGGCTGCTTTATTAGTAATTTTGGCATAAATTGTTACGAGATGGTGTGGTTGTGAGCAACCTTGAGTCCCTCTGGGGAGAAAGGAGAGATATTATTAGGCCTAAGAGTGAGCACTAAGCCTGCCTCACCGTTCCTGCTTGGCCTTCTGCTCCCGGGAGCGCCTGTCTCCGATCACGGACATGGCCTGCAAAGGAAGCGCAGCGGGTACCGTGAGCGCGAGGCGGGGAAGAGGATACACGGGCCCTGCCTCCCTCCCGGCCTCTCCCTCCTCCTCCTCACCGTCTCCAGGTTGGAGCTCTGGATCTCCTTCTCCTCGGCGTAGTCAGTCACCCGTTCCAGGTCAGCGGCGCCGCTGTCATGCTTCCGGGGCTTCTCCACCGCTCGGCCCCCGGCTCCATCCCCGCCGCCCGCCGAGCCATTGGGCTCCGCTTCCAGCTCCAGCTCCACATCGCCTTCGGCCGCCATTGCTCTCCGGCGCCTCGCTGCCGGCTCTGCCACTTCCGCTTCCGGGGAGAGGCGTCATGTTTGAGCCCCGTGCGAAGCGCCGCCCCCTAGCGGTTGCGCACGGCACAGCCTGGGCCAGGCACCTGCTTGGGGGCGACGCTCTCTCGCATGCGCCCCCTAGCGGGGATGGCGAGGTTGCAAGCAACAGCCAGGGATGGAAGGACATTAGCTGGAGGACCACAGGATCTTTTTTTTAAAAAAAATATTTATTTACGACATTTATATTGTGCAGGTACAGCACATCATGCGAGGATGTGCGGGGCTGGATATGCAAGGCTGGGGTGAAAATTGCTGGAAGAAACATTAACAACCTTAGATATGCAGATGACACTACTTTGATGGCCGAAAGCAAGGAGTAGCTGAGGAGCCTTCTAATCAAGGTGAAAGAAGAAAGCGCAAAAGCTGCGTTGCAGTTAAACATAAAAAAACCAAGATTATGGCAACAAGTCCGATTGATAACTGGCGAATAGAGGGAGAAAACGTGGAGCCTGTGACAGAGTTTGTATTTCTAGGTGCAAAGATTACTGCAGATGCAGACTACAGCCAGGAAATCAGAAGACGTTTACTTCTTGGGAGAGCAATGTCCAGTCTCGATAAAATAGTAAAGAGTAGAGACATCAGACTGGCAACAAAGATCCTCATAGTCAAAGCCATGGTATTCCCTGTAGTCACCTACGGATGTGAGAGCTGGACCTTAGGGAAGGCTGAGCGAAGGAAGATAGATGCTTTTGAACTGTGGTGCTGGATGAAAGTGCTGAGAGTGCCTTGGACTGCGAGAAGATCCAACCAGTCCATCCTCCAGGAAATAAAGCCCGACTGCTCATTGGAGGGAAGGATACTAGAGACAAAGTTGAAGTACTTTGGCCACATCATGAGAAGACAAGGAAAGCCTAGAGAATGCTGGGGAAAGTGGAAGGCAAAAGGAAGAGGGGCCGACCAAGGGCAAGATGGATGGATGGCATCCTTGAAGTGACTAGACTGACCTTGAGGGAGCTGGGGGTGGTGACGGCCGACAGGGAGCTCTGGCATGGGCTGGTCCATGAGGTCACAAAGAGTCGGAGACGACTGAATGAATGAACAACAAACAACGATATAATATATTGTATGTATATATATCTTAGAAGCTGCTCTGTGTCCCCTTCGGGGTGAGGACAGCATATAAATGTCATAAATAAATAAATAAGTACCAACGAATCACCACCTAACAAAGGATTTCCCAGACAGGAAGCAGCCAAGCCTTGAAGCTGCAAGGCTTTTCAATGTTAATCAAGGTGTATTGTCGAAGGCTTTCATGGCTGGAATCATTCAGTTCTTGTGGGTTTTTTCGGGCTATATGGCCATATTCTAGAGGCATTTCTCCTGACGTTTCGCCTGCATCTATGGCAAGCATCCTCAGAGGGTGAGGACCTCACCTCTGAGGATGCCTGCCATAGATGCAGGTGAAACGTCAGGAGAGAATGCTTCTGGAACGTGGTCATATAGACCTACAATAACCCATTATTATTATTATTGGAGGCTTTTAAACAGAGGCTGGATGGCCATATGTCAGGGGTGTTTTGATTGTGCTTTTCCTACATGGTAGAAGGGGGTTGGACTAGATGGTCTTTGGGGGTCTCTTCCAACAGCCCGGAAAACTCACTAAATAAATCAGTGTTTGGAAGAGTGGCAAGACTCAGTTTCAGGAGCGCCACGCCCCCTGGCGGCGGTGGCGAGGTTGCAGGCAAAGGCTTTCCAGGGCCACCACTGCTTTGGCCAATCCGGGCGCGGGGCTAATTGGCTTTGCGGGGCTAATTAGCCTCCTCCTCCTCCTGCCGCTCTTCCGTCTCCGGAGATGGTTTCGGCGGCGCTGGGCGGGCAGGCCGGCCCCGGAGGGCCCTGGGGCGGGTCCCGGCTGCTGAGCCCCCCGGAGGAGGAGGAGGAGGAGCCCCTCGCCCTCGCCCGCGCGCCCCCGCCGCCGCGCTCCTTCGCGAGAAGAGGGAAGAAGAGGGCCATGCTGGCGGGATGCTGCGAGGAGCAGGTGAGGGGCGGGGCCGGGCGGCCAGGGGGCGTGGCCAAGGGGATTCTATGTAAATAAGGAGCTCCCCTCTTAAAGAAGCCCCGCCCCCAAATAAGCTCCAGAGGGATGAATTTTATAATAGCAATAATAATAATAATAATAATACACAAATATATATAAATAAGTGATAATATAGAAATAATAGAATAATGATATAAATATAGAAGTATATAAATAAATGATAATCTATAATATAATGATATAAATATAGAAATATATAAATAAGTGATAATATATAAATAATATAATAATGACATAAATATAGAAATATATAAATAAGTGATAATATGTAAATTATATAATAATGACATAAATATCGAAATATAGAAATAAAAGATAATATGTAAATAATATAATAATGACATAAATATAGAAATATAGAAATAAAAGATAATATGTAAATAATATAATAATGACATAAATATATAAATATATAAATATAATGATAGAAATATAGAAATAAAAGATAATATGTAAATAATATAATAATGATAGAAATATAGAAATATAGAAATAAAAGATAATATGTAAATAATATAATAATGACGTAAATATAGAAATATATAAATAAATGATAATATATAAATTATATAATAATGATAGAAATATAGAAATAAAAGATAATATGTAAATAATATAATAATGATAGAAATATAGAAATATAGAAATAAAAGATAATATGTAAATAATATAATAATGACGTAAATATAGAAATATATAAATAAATGATAATATATAAATATATAATGATATAAATATAGAAATATAGAAATAAAAATATGTAATAATGATAATAATGTAATATATTTCATTAAATAATATTATTAAATAAATTAATACTAAATATCATAATATAAATACATGATATATGTATATAAAAATATATAAATATATAAATTAAAAGATAATATGTATAAATAATAAACTGATATAAATATATAAATAAAAATGATAATATATAAATTATATAATGATATAAATGTAGAAATATATAATAATATGATAATAATAAATAATAAATATAAATAATAATAAATAATATTAATATAATATAAATATTATATATATAATTATATATAATAATATATTATATAAATAATATATAATAATAATAAAATAATATATAAATAAATATAATATTAAATGATATAATAATAATAAAATAAAATATAAATAAATGATAATATAAAATATAATAATATAAATATAGAAATATATAAATAAGTGATAATATATAAATTATATAATGATATAAATATACAAATATATAAATAATGATAATATGTAAAATATATAATATAATAAATACAAATATATAAATAATATAATATATAAATGATATAATAATGATATAAATATACAAATATATAAATAAATGATATGTAAATAATATAATAATGCTATAAATATGCAAATATATAAATAAATGATAATATATAAATAATATAATAATGATACAGATATATAACTAAATGATAATCCATAAATTATATAAGAATGATATAAATATACGAATATATAAATAAAAGATAATATATAAATAATATAATAACGATCTAAATATACAAATATATAAATAAATGATAATATATAAATAATATAATATAATGATCTAAATATACAAATATATAAATAAATGTTAATATATAAATAATACAATAATGATATAAACAAAAATATATAAATAAATGATAATATATAAATAATATAGTAATGATATAAATATAGAAATATATAAATAAAAGATAATATGTAAATAATATAGTAATGATAAAAATATACAAATATATAACTAAATGATAATATATAAATAAAATAATAATGATATAAATATACAGATATATAAATAAATGATAATATATAAATAATGTAATAAATATCATAATATAAATATTGTTAAATTATATTATATATAAAATATATATAAATTATATATAAATAAATGATAATATATAAATAATATAAGAATGATATAAATATATATAAATAAATGATAATATATAAATTATAGAATGATATAAATATAGAAATATAGAAATATATGATAATATATAAATAATATAAGAATGATATAAATATCCCAGATTCTTTCCTCTAATCGGCCCCGGAATGAACAGCCACAGACCCGTACCTAATATTTTTATGCCTGCCATAGCATTGCACTTAATTCCCAGGGCCCCTAGAATTTATGGCACAAATCTTGGCCCGGCCTTTTAAATTTTTTAATTGCCTTCTTGAATTTGGCTCGGCAACTGATCGGTTTTAATAGGGGCGTTGTATGCTCCCTACAGTTTGCTCCAGTAAGGAGCCTGGCTGCCGCCTGCTGTACCAGTTCAAACTTCCGGTCGTCCTCAAGGGCAGCCCCATGTAGAGTGCATTGCAATAGTCCAGTTTGGATGTAACCAAGGCATGGACCACCCTGGCCAAGTCAGACTTCACGAGGTATGGTCGCAACTGGCACACAAGTTTGAGTTGTGCAAAGGCCCTCCTGACCACCACTGACACCTGAGCATCAAGGACAGTGTTGAGTCCAGGAGGACCCGCAAGCTACGGTCAAGCATCCACAGTCTCCCCCCCCCCCTGCAAAAAAAACCCAATGTGAGTGGGGGGACACAGGGTCTTGCCCAAGGAGCTGCCTGTGAGCCTTTATGTGTAAGAGAAGAAGCTGCGTGCCAGAGTCAATTAGCCGCGAGGCTAATCTCCTGGGGATCTCTCTCCGGGGCAGATGGCCGTAATCCGCACGTGGGGCCTGGTGGGTGCGAAATAGCCCTTGGGCCATGGCCACCAGAACCTTGAGGGCGGCAGAGGACTCCGCATTGGGGGCGTCGCTGGGAAGGAGGTCAATGCTGCAGGGTCAGGTGGGACAGCAGAGAGGAAAGCAAAGGAAAGCGGGCCTTGGACCAGAAGGAAGGAAGGAAGGAAGAGACTGAGATTGCATAACAAGGAAGTTCTGAGAATGCGTTTTGCAGGCCTGGGCAAACTTTGGCCCTCCAAAGTGTGCCCAGATCTGGGTGATTGTGTTGCCAGGCAAAGTGTGTGAAAGGCGAAGAAATGATGATGATGATGATGATGATGATGATGATGATGATGATGATTATGATGATGATTGGAATGACCTGGAAAAGATGGGAAGTGCAAGAGAATTGGTTTGAAAAACAGCATTGTTTTGGAACAGAGGATTAAAGGGCAGAGCTGGGAGGGTGACGTGAAGGAAAGCGGGAAAAGGTTTGGTTGTGTGTGTGTGCATGTTTAACTCTTCTCTGGTCAACTATAAAACCCATGATGCAGAACAGTCTAAGGCAGCGCTCTCTCTATTGCACCCCACCCCTTAGTGTTATTCCGCAGATTAAACTATTGTATTTTGAAGCTCTTTGTTTCTAGTGTCTGATTGGAAATAGACTACCTCTGAGGTAGCCATAGATGCAGGCGAAACGTCAGGAGAAATGCCTCTAGAACATGGCTCTATAGCCCGAAAAAACTCACAAGAACCTAATAGATATAAGGTTTTTAGGGGGGCACAGAAGACCCCCCCCCCCCGAACTTTGGGCTTTCTAGGGCCTACTAGATATAAATCAGTGTTTCTCAACCTTCCGCGACCCCTGAATACAGTTCCTCATGTTGTGGTGACCCCCAATCATAACATTCTTTTCGTTGCTACTTCATAACTAATGTTGTTACTGTTATGAATCATAATGTAAATACTGATATGCAGGATGTATTTTCATTCACTGGACCAAATTTGGCACAAATACCAGATAAGCCCAAATTTGAATACTGGTGGGGTTGGGAGGGATTGATTTTGTCATTTGGGAGTTGTAGTTGCTGGGATTTATAGTTAACCTACAATCAAAGAGCATTCTGAATGCCACCAAGGATGGAATTGAAACTTGGCACACAGAACTCACATGACCAACAGAAAATACTGGAAAGGTTTGGTGGGCATTGACCTTGCGTTTTGGAGTTTTAGTTCACCTACATCCAGAGAGAACTAGACTCAAACAATGATGGATCTGGACCAAACTTGGCATGAATGCTAAATATGCTCAAATATGAACACTGGTGGAGTTTGGGGAAAATAGACATTTGAGAGTCGTGGTTGCTGGGATGTATAGGTCACCTACAATCAAAGAGCATTGTGAACCCCACCAACAATAGAATTGGCCCAAACTTCCCACAGAACCCCCATGCCTTAGGGACTCACTGGCGCCAGCCTCCCTCCAGCCTCACACGCTCTCCCTCACCTGTGCACCACATTACATGTGGCAAGCACGCCTGCTCTCCCCTCCCCGCTTGGAGTCTCAGAAACAGCCCTCTCCTTGGCTGAGAGGCCGGCCAATCACAGCGGAGGAGGGTTTTTGGTGGGAGGATTCGCCATCTGTTTCCAAAAAGGAAGAGAAGGACAGGTGGAGAAATCTTCAGCCTTCTCTGCCAAAGGTGTTCCTAAGACCATCAGAAATACATATTTTCTGATGGTCTTTGGCGACCCCTTTGAAACCCCCTCGTGACCCCCAAAAGTCCCAAATTCCAGGTTGAGAAATACTGGTTTAGAGGGTCCTTGTGGATAAAGTGACGAGTCCAGCAGCATATCCAGAGTCATACAGACAAACCTTGGTATTTCCGTCCAGTAAATCCAGTGGTAGATGTATGTGCTTTCTCACAGCAGGCAGAGTAAACTGCAGCAGCCTCCTTCGAGCCAAACAGAGAGAGCTTCAAAATAGCAAATGTAAGGAAATGGCCTTTTCTTCTTTTTGCTTGCAGATCTGCTGCTGCTGTGGGCCGGCTCCCTGCGGCCTATGCTGCCCCTCCTGCCCCAGCATCAAGGCCTCCACTGGCACCCGCCTCCTCTACATGCTCTTCCACATCTCTGCCTGCGGATGCTGCTGCATCATGCTCTCCCGCACTGTGGCCAAGGCCATTGAGGAGAATGTGAGTGAGTCCAGAAGGGGTCCTTGGCCGGTGGAGGGGCCACGAGGACAGGCTTGGCAAACGGGACTTGAGCTCTGACCCCTGGCTTCTGTGGCCGGATACTATTTGGGGGCTGGCATTCATGCATACCTCTGGTGCTTGAGCAGGCCTTTTATTGGTGGAGAGAAGATCTGAAGACCCCCTTTCTTCTCAAACATGTCTTGCTTTCCTGAAATGGCTGATTCTCACTGGCAGTAGTAGCCTGGTGGAAGGAGCAAGGGGTCCGTGGCTTATGTGTTTATGGTTATTCGCCTCACTTCTCCCTCAGGTGCCTTTTTACGCAGTGCTGTGCGAACACCTCCCGGGAAGCTCTGACTGCGACATCCTGGTGGGCTACTCGGCCGTCTACCGGGTCTGCTTCGGCACCGCCTGCTTCTACTTGGCCCAGGCCCTCTTCCTCCTCAACGTCAAGTCCAGCAACGAGTTCCGGGCCCTTCTGCACAACGGGTGAGGAGGGAGGGGCAAAAGATGAGAGGAAGGAAGGGGTGTGCGTGGCCTTGGCACCTCCATAACTTTGAATGGAGGCTGTGTCTCTGCTGCAGGTTCTGGTTCCAGAAATTCCTCATCCTGGTCGGACTGTGCGCAGCAGCCTTTTTCATCCCGGATCAGCGCTTCATCCAAAGTAATGAAACACACACACACACACTGCCTTACACTCTCAGCAGAGGAACGGGATGTATGTGGGCACATGATGCTGCAGTATGTGGGGGGGGGGGATCTTTCTCTAAAAGGGCTGTGGAAATGATCCAAATCAGTTAGGTTGCAAGGCAGGGAGTCTGGGGAGATCTATTGAACAAATGGGCTTATTAACAAAAGACCCTCCTCATAAACATATAGCACAATAACTTATTAGCAGCGTGACCCAGCACCAGTAGCCAAAAGTGATAAAAAGAACAAAAACACACAGACCAATGTTATATCATCTTTAAAGGCTTTTGTCGCAAAATAATATGGTTGCAGTATTTACAAGAACAAGGTTTCCATAACACAAATACAGTTCTTTATACTTCCTCCTTTGCTTCCACACTGGGCTTCCTTCTCATGCAGATAAAAAGCTTTGCTCTCACAGAGGTTCTTCTCACACTAAACTTACACAGGAGCTTCATACAGTAGCCTTTTACATACAGCAGTCCTCACACTGGATCTTTGCGCATGAGGCCTTCAACCTGGGGTTTCTCTCACCGAAGCCTTCTCACACCAGGCCTCTCACGCCCGGAGGCCTACTAATTCTGAGGCCTACCTCACACTGAGGCCTACTAACACTGAGGTTTACCTCACACTGAGGCCTTTCTCAGACTGAGGACTCTTTCAAACTGAAGCTCCCTCACACTGAGGCCTACTAACACTGAGGCTTACCTCACACTGAGGCCTTTCTCAGACTGAGGACTCTTTCAAACTGAAGCTCTCTCATACTGAGGGCAACTAACACTGAGGTGTATTAAACTACCGGCACATCTGCTTATATTGAACTGCAGCTTTTGCTGAATCATTGCATCCATTTAACCCTTACAGTGCTTGACTCACATTTTTGTAATTAAAAATACCTAGTTAATTTTTAATATTTCTGACAAGATGAAGGGGGGTGGGGGTGGAATGTGCTCATCTTCCTGCCTGAAGCCACCCTCCCCCTAATGCACTGTCCTCGGCAGCCTGGCACTTGGTTGGCGTCTGCGGAGGGTTTGCCTTCATCCTGGTGCAGCTGGTGCTGATCACGGCCTTTGCCCACACCTGGAACAAGAACTGGTGAGTTGCGCCTGAGGAAGGTGATGGGTGCCGAAGGGGAGGAGGAAGAGGAGGGGGGTCCCAGGCATTCTCTCCTCCTGCCATGCTTCTCTCCTTGCCAGGCTGACGGGGGCCGCCCAGGACAAGCGCTGGTACCTGGCCGTGTCTGTGGCCACACTGGGCTTCTATGCCATCGCCTCTGCCGCCTCTGCCCTCCTCTACAAGTTCTACACACATCCAGGGGGTTGCAACCTCAACAAGGGCCTCCTGGCTGTCAATGCAGGACTCTGCCTCCTTATGTCCTTCACTTCCATCACGCCCTGTGTCCGCTACAGTGAGTGAAGCGGGGGCTGGGGATGATTAAGGTATACCTGGTCCTGTGTGTGGCACAAGCTTGGGCAGCTGATGCCGTGTGCCCTGAGCGGACAGTCAGATGCCTTTGCAGAGGCCCTGACCCTCCTGCCTTTCCCACAGGGCAGCCACGCTCCAGCCCATTGCAGGCCTCCATCATCTGCTGTTATGTCATGTACCTGACCTTCTCGGCGCTCTCCAGCCGGCCACCAGAGAAAGGTGAGAGTGGGGTCCTGCCCTCGGCTGGCCAGCCTTGGAGTCCTCTGGGGGGAACATGCCTGTAACTGCTGTGAGCCTCATCCATGACCAGCTCCCCCCTTCTCTGCCCAGTGCAATACAGGGGCCAAAACCTCACCATCTGCTTCCCCGGTGTCAGCAAAGATGGCATGCAGACCGAAGACACTACGGTGGCTGTCCTGGGGGCAGTCTTCATGTACGCCTGTGTCCTCTTCGCCTGGTGAGGAAGGAAGGGGGGGCTGACATGTATGTACTCCCACCAAAACCCAAAGCACAGGGAGGGGTGCCTTCTCAACCTCTCAAAGCCAAGTAATTTCACAGACACCAAGGTTGTAAGCCAAAATGTATTCCACACAGAAAAGTCAAGATTCACCAGCAGGGAGTCAGGCTGTAGCAGTTGCACCAACGTTGCTTCCAGCAACTAACTGATCCAGCCTCCAGCTACTTATTATTATTATTATTATTTATTATTTACCTTACTTATATACCGCTGTTCTCAGCCCGAAGGCGACTCACAGCGGTTCACAACAAATACGAACAGCAAAAATTCAGTGCTACAGTATAGAAACAGTTAACAACCTAACACATTACACAATTAATAAACAGTTACTACAATACCCATTCACTGTCGTCTCGTCATCAAAAACATGTTCCAGATTCGTCATCCATTGTTCCATTCCAGTGTTCATTAACCAATCATTGCACTAATTATTCGAACGCCTGCTCAAACAGCCAGGTCTTCACTTTTTTGCGGAATACCATTAGAGATGGTGCTAGTCTAATGTCCGTAGGAAGGGTGTTCCACAGCCGAGGAGCCACCACCGAGAAGGCCCTATCTCTCGTCCCCGCCAGCCGAGCTTGAGAAGCAGGCGGGATCGAGAGCAGGGTCTCCCTGGAAGATCTCAAAGTCCTGGTGGGTTCATAGGCAGAGATGCGGTTGGATAGGTAGCTTGGGCCGGAACCGTTTAGGGCTTTAAAGGCCAACTTATGCCACGTTCCCAAGCAATTCCACCTGTTGGCCCTCCTCTGGGCCAACCAATTAGATCTCCTTAGTTGAATGGCATCAATCCTTAATTGCAGCCTAGTTGGAATACTTGGTTGCTGGTTTGCTTCTCTGGGAGGGGTTTGGAGATGCTGCTCACCTTCAGGGCTTTAGGTGCGGCTGATGCATAAACACCCTTTTCCCTCCTCTAGCAATGAAGCCTCACAGCTCGCTGGCATGTTTGGGCCACTGTGGATGGTCAAGATCTACAGCTTCGAGTTTAAGGTGAATTGGGGATGGACCTCTCAGTGATTAAGGGGTGGGGGTGTGTCCCTTCCCTTGCTTCCCTTTGGTACACTTTGTTTCCCTTCAGAATCTTCTGTTGGGTGCAAATCTGCTTATATGCGCTTCATGTGGGGGGTGGGCATCTTCCTGCTTTCATTCATTCCCTGCAGAATCCCTCCTGCTGCTTCTGCTGCCCAGAGAAGATGGAGGAGGAGCTGGCAGGTGAGTGGTGAAGGTCAAGGTTATTGTTGTTATTATTATTATTATTATTATTATTATTATTATTATTATTATTTGAAACACAACAAGATTAGTACACAGCAAACAAGATGACTATGCTGGCTGTATTATTATTATTATTATTATTATTATTATTATTATTATTATTATTATTATTTGAAACACAACAAGATGAGTCCACAGCAGACAAGATCACTCTGCTGGGTGTTGTATTGGATCACATGTCGGACACTTTCCAAGTGTCTAGGACCATGCGATGTATCGGCGAATGATGTGTGCAGATCCCAGTACGCGTCAATTGTGTTTAAGTGCAGGCCAAGGTCTTTAGGCACTGCACACAGTGTGCCGATCACCACTGGGACGACCTTTACTGGCTTGTGCCAGAATCTTTGCAGTTTGATCTTTAAATCCTCATATCGTGTCAGCTTTTCAAGTTGTTTTTCTTCAATCCTGCTGTCGCCTGGGATTGCAACATCGACAATCCATACTTTATTTTTTAACACGATTGTGAGGTCAGGAGTGTTGTGTATTATTATTACACTGACACAAAAACACAGTATGTCATAGCAAATGAGATCTATATGGATCCATTATTATTATTATTATTATTACTATTATTATTATATTTATATTTGTTTTTCTCTCTTCCCACTCTGGGGCTCCATGATTCTGGATCAGGCCAGGAGCCCTCCCTGGCGGGGCAGAGGGTCGTCCACAACGAACACGACCGGGTAGTCTACAGCTACTCCACTTTCCACTTCATCTTCTTTCTGGCCTCCCTCTATGTCATGATGACCCTCACGTGCTGGTTCAGGTAAAGCAGGAACCGTGCGGGAAGGAAGGAAGACAGGCAGGTTGGGGAGGCCATGTTCCCCCCACCCCACTTCCACCATGGGGCCTCTTAATCATCCCTCCTCCCATTGTTCCCTTCTCAGTTATGAGAACGCTGAGCTGGAGACCACCTTCACGCACGGGAGCTGGTCCACCTTCTGGGTCAAAGTGGCGTCCGGCTGGGCCTGCGTCCTGCTCTACTTCTGGATCCTCCTGGGACCGCTCTGCCTCCCGGACTCACGACCACAGAAAGGCAGCCGGCCCTTTCTGCGCATCATTCGGCGCAGGCGACGTGCACTCCACCGCGTCGGTGTTGCCACGTAGCGCTGGCCCAAGGTTCTGCTGCCTTTGCCTGCAGAGATTACCCTGCGACAGAAGAGTGGGACCAACCCTGAGGCTCCCAGACAAGAGGCTGATGTAGCCTGGGACTCACCACGCATGCCGCCCTGGACAGTACGCCTGCCGGCGAGCTTCCATCCAGCATACAACATGCCAGTTAAAAGTGATATCAAAGTCTAATTTTTAGTATGGATCCATCTCAAGTCTAAACAATCTCTGGCCGCTGAACCTTAATGCTGCCCAGCAGAGCTCTTTTGCATAGTTTGCCAGGTTCTTGAGAATCCTCAGAATGCAGCTTCTTGTCTTTGATGGGCCCCCATGCATAATCTAAACACATAATCCGAATGGGTTGCAGGGGGCTTCTGCAGAGGTTGTGGAGACAGATGCTCAGCATCACCGAAGCAGGAAGAAGAACGAATGGGGGCTGTAGAATCCCTCCTGCTGCTGTGGAAGGAGGGCAGCGCTGAAATCACAGCTCCCTGGCTGACCCTTGGGACTCTTCCTGCTTTATGACCTGTACACTACGTTCCAGCTCCTGGAGGAACCTCTAGTGCACCTGAAGGGCCACAGGAAGAGAGGGCTTGGCACTGATTTCAAGGGCGAGGAGGTGGCGCTGCGCCACTTGGCATGTGGAAGAGGACTGATGGACAAGAGACATTGTGGGGGGCGGCAAAGGGGGCTGTCGTCCCTCAGCCACGGTGCTCCTTCTGCAATAAAAGCTCACTCAACTCCATGGCTCCCCAGATGTTTGTCTATAGGTCCCTCCAAGTGTCCTTCCTTCTATGGGAGGGCTGGGCAGGAGAGGAGGCAACAGGACTGGGGTGGACTGGATGGCTCCCGGAGCCTGAGAGATATGGTGATGTCAAAAGATTCCTTCTATAAGGTGAAGGTAAAATTTCCCCTGACATTGTCTAATCATGTCTGAGTATGGGGTGGTGGTGCTCATCTCCATTTCTAAGAGCTGGTGTCGTCCGTAGACACCTCCAAGGTCATGTATTTTGATTGTGCTTTTCCTACATGGTAGAAGGGGGTTGGACTAGATGGTCTTTGGGGGTCTCTTCCAACTCTGTGATTATATGTCAAGGTTTTCCCTTGACATTAAGTCTAGTTATGTCCAACTGGTGGATGGTACTGATCTCCATTTCTAAGTGTTATGCTTATCTCCATTTCTAAGCTGAAGAGCCGGTGTTGGCCATAGACACCTTCTAGGTCATGTGGCCAGCATGACTGCATGGAGCGCCATTATCTTCCCACAGAAGCAGTACCTATTGATCTACTCACATTTGCATGTTTTTGAACTGCTAGGTTGGCAGAAGGTTGGGCTAACAGCGGGATTCAAACCGCTGATGTTTTGGTCAGCAGGTTCAGCAGCTTGGCGGTTCAACCCACTGTGCCACCAATTTCTTCTATAGGGAAAAATAAAACTTGGGCAAAATATATGTTTTCACTATGGATCTTCAATGGCTTATTCTATTATCTCACTGAACTGATGAAAGGCTAAAGAGGAAGAGGAGCCAGAGAGAGGATAATACAAAAGGAGGGAAGAGAAAGAGAAGTCATGTGGTCCCTGCCTGTCTAGAAGTAATGGAAATCACTCATTGATTAATGCCAAATAATACTAAGTGAAGGGGAAAATGAGAGAGGGAGACTGATCTGGCCATTCTGTCATAGTATCCGGTCATGTGGATACTACCACCATATATCCACAGGACTGAAATCCAGAATTTCATTTATCTGCCTTCTAGTCATTTTCTGGTGTGCATCTGCCACAAGGTGACTAATGAGACTCACTAGGGGACCTAATGATGGCTGCACATGTGGGATGCTGCTCATCCCTGGGAAGTAACGAGAGAGGGGGCCAGGGGACGGTTCCATCTTGTCTCCAGCATATGTCATCCGCTGGGGTCTCCTCTCCCCTGCACTAACTGCTGTTCTGGGCCAGAGTGAAGAAAGGGGCAGGGGACAGTTTCACCTTGTCTCCTGTGCCATGCTAATAATGGAATATAATATATTGTATATACATACAATATTTATATTATAATGTAATGCAATATAATACTAATAATATAAGTATATGTTTATATTACATGTAATATTACTAATAATATTACAATATAATGGTATAATACAATATAGTAATATTTAATACTGATATTGTACTATGCTAATAATATAGTATAGTGTGTATGTATATATACATATACATATACATATATATATATCTTGCAATCCCCTTTGGAGTGAGAAAGGCAGCATATAAATGTAGTAAATAAATAAATATGCTTTACACCACCTGTGTGCACATCTGCCCGTTTGTATTGGTGCAGAGCACTTCAACTGCACCAGCCAGAGCTTCCTAACTGTGAGAGCTGTTCAGCAGTGGAACTCTCTACCCCGAAGTGTGGTGGAGGCACCTTCTTTGGAGGCTTTTAAACAGAGGCTGGATGGCCATCTGTTGGGGGTGCTTTGAACACGATTGTCCTGCTTCTTGGCAAGGAGTTGGACTGCATATCCCACGAGGTCTCTTCCAACTCTATGATTCTATGAAGGGGAAATAACCAAGCCAACGCCACCCTTTTGCTTTTGAGCATGATTATTATTATTATTATCAAGTCCTGAGAAAAACATCCAGCTGGCTGGGCGTTGGGAAAGTCCCAGAGATGGGCCCAGATGCGTCCCGGGTGTCATTACAGATGCAAAGGCGAGGAGGTGCAGGAGAGCAGGGCTCCTTCGGGAAGCGCCACAGGAGGGAGGCCAGGCCACCGGAATGGAGGGAAGATGCAAACAGTTCTGCTCCTCTCCTGCCAGCTCGGCCTCACAGAGCCCCAAGAGGGTTGGGCTGCAGAGTGAGAGCGCCAGAGGTCAAGGTGGGGAAGGGACTTCAGTAGAGGCACCAGCCTAGAACGGAGTCAGCATAGACACACAAGCGAAGGCGGCTCCCAGTGGGACAGGGCTGGGTCAGGTCAGGTCAGAGCTGATTGGAATCATCATCAGCCTCCTTCGCTGCAGCTCCACAGAGTATCTGGCAGCCTTCTTGCTCAGCGATGGCTGGCTAACTCCTAAGCATGTTGATTGTTCAACTTGGCTGCGGGGTGGAGACTTCTGGCTGCAAAGGGTGGAATTCCAGTTGGCTTTGCAGCCACATAAAAGCCAGCTATGGTCATGCCAAGACCTTTGGTGCCAGTGGGGCTTGGGACCATAGGCTCAAGAGGAAGAAAAGTTGGGGGGGGGGGGTGATGCCAGGGGCCCCCTCCCTTTCCCCAGACAACTCACCTGAGAGCCCTGAGCCCCGGAAGTGGCTGGTGAGTCTTCTTGAAGGGCCTGGCTGGATCCAGACGGGGAGGGCCTCTTCTGTTCCCTTTGCTTCCTGGCTAGCTTGGAGAGCTCAGCATGAATGGCCTGCAGAAGGGCCAAAATGATCCTTTGCCAGCCCTCCTGGAGGGCAGTCAGGGAGGGAACAGTCCCCCCAGTTCTATGGATGGAAGGGGGAGCAGGGGGTGAAGGGGCCCCTTTAGCCCCAATCCCTCACCTGCCCTGCAGGCCCATAGTGCTCTGGATTCCCTCCCACCATCTCCTCACCTTTGTGGCCGGGTCCAGGTGGAGGGCCCGCTTCAAGATCGCCATGGCTGCCTGGTCCTCCCCCTGCTCAGACAGCAGCTGCAGGGAAGACAGTGCAGGGATGATGAGGAGGAGGAGGAGGATGTTTATTTGGACCCCACTTCTTCTCTCCACAAAGAGCTACAGAGGAAACTCAACATTATGGTGGTCTCAAAGTGATCCCTCCTCCCTGCCCCTCCCTCTCCCCTCTTTGGAAGAACTTTATTTTATTTTTTATTTTATTTACTACACTTTTATCCCATCCTTTTCAGCCCGAAGGCGACTCAGGGCGGTGTACAGACTGGTAACAAATAGATGCCGAAAACACATAAATACATCATTTAAAACAGGTTAATTCACATAATAAAATTCATATAAAAACAATTCAAAACTATAAAAATCAGTGACTTCTGGGTTTAAATCCATGTCCATTTGCATCGTTAATATACTTTCTAATATACTTATACTTGCAATATATACTTTATAATTACTGCTGCCTTGAGAAAGTTTAGAATATCCTTAAGGATCCATCTCACCCTGGGAATTATTACCATCTGGCAGGTGGTATAAAAAGGGAAAGGTTTCCCCTGACATTAAATCTAGTTGTGTCCGACTCTGGGGGGTTGGTGCTCATCTCCGTTTCTTTGTAAAATAATTTTTATTATTATAGACAAAGTATAAAATGTTTTAAAAAAGAAGTCAAAATAAAGTATAAGAGAAAGAACACTTAAAGTGGGGGAACATTATAATTGAAGAAAAGTAGGAAATTGAAAAGTGAAAATAAAGGGCAAAGAAGAGTAGAAAAAAAAGGTTTTGAATGGCTTCCGTTCTTCTTTACGTTCAAGTCTGTCAGTTTTCCCATTCTATCAAGCTTTCCTTTCCCAATAATAATCTATTTTAAGTGTCCCAATTTCTTTCCATTCTTGCCCATTTCTAAGCCAAAGAACTGGCACTGTCCATAGATGCCTCCAAGGTCATGTGGCCAGCATGACTGCATGGAGCGCCGTTACCTTCCCGCAGAAGCAGTACCTACCGATCTCACATGTGCATGGTTTCGAACTGCTGGTTTGGCAGAAGTTAGGCCTAACGGCAGGTGCTCAGCCCACTCCCAGGATTTGAACCGCTAACCTTTCGGTCAGCAAGTTCAGTGGCTCAGTGGTTTAACCTGCTGTGCCACCAGGGTGTCGTCCAGCAGGCAGTATAGGATGATAAAATCAATGACAAATAGGCTGAGAAATAGCTTTTATCCCAGAGCTGTGATTATGTTGAACTCTATGGTTCATAGGGATGCGAATGAGGAAGGAGTGTTTTGGTTTTTGTAATTCTACATATATAATGGGATGGCATGGAATTTGTCAGGTTTTACAATGTATTGTAATGTAATATAGCTGAGTCATGCACTGCTAATGGGCTTCTATTGGGAATGCTGAGTCATGCATTAACTGTGTATAGAACTTCATTTGGGGAATGTGTTCTGGCCTAGTCCAGGTGATTGTGAATGATGTAATCCTGGGTCTGAGTTAAGTCAATGAGTTGGGAACCAATCAGTGATTGCTATGTGTAAATGAATTGTATATAAGGAAGTCATGTACAGTGTATTCTCTCCTTGTGCTGTGATGTTGTTCGTCGAAGACTATATGTAATTAAAAGAACCTGTCTGCTAAGACAAGATATAACTGTATGCTGTGGTAAATTTGTAATATCATCTAGACTGGGGGAAAGACAATGGTAAAACTGACAATGGCCGGGCATGTGCTCAAGTGTCTGTAAACGGTTCCAGAGTGACTGCAGGCTGTGGAAGCAGTTGACTGAAAATACTGTGCAGGAAGAAGCTACTGGAAAGCGCTGAAGTTGTGCAACTGATCTGCTGCTGAATTGTGAAGTTAATCTCAACAGAATTTCGTTGTACGATGTACAGTGACGATAAAATTATTCAGTTCTATTCTATGCTGGCTCTACCTTGCCTTTCCGGAAGAGTGCCTTGACATTGTCGGGGTCCAGCTGCAGCACCCGGTTGCAGGATCCCAGGGCCTCCTCTGGCCGCTGCAGCTTCATTTGTGCGGCCGCAGAGTTGTTGAGGCATTTGAGCTCCAGCTCTCGACGCTCCTCTTCCTCGTCAGGGCTCAGGCAGCCTGCAGAAGGGCCGCACAGGAAGGGCCTCACCCCCAGGCAGGCAGAGGCCTGGCCAGGAGCCCCCCACTCTCCCCACCTCTAGGCTTTGGAAGCTTAGCTCCCTCCCCTCCATTGTGCCAGTGCTCAACCGCCTCTGATGTGCCCAGGCCTAGGCAGGCTGGGGCCTGGTGTTTCAGGCCTCACCCCCAGGGCTGGCCCAGGAGCCTCACCTTCCCCTGGCAAGAGTAGCAGCTGCAGAGCCTCCTGGTAGCAGCGCAAGGCCCGGTGGAAGTCCTCCCTCTCGAAGTGGAAGTTGCCCCACTCCCGCCGACGATTGACTAGGCCGAGCCGCTCCGAGGCGGGCAAGAGAGCTGGATTGGGGCCGTCCTGCACTTGAAGTAGGGTCACCTCATAGAGCAGAGTGGCGTTGGAGGGGATGTCAGGCTCCCTGCAGAGGAGGAGGAGGAGGAGGAGGAGGAGGAGGAGGAGGAGGAGGAGGAGGAGGAACGTGTCCAGGTTGGTCCACAGATTCTGCCTCCAACCCCTTTCCTCTCTGGAAAAAAGGGCCTTACCTGCCTAGGCAACCATAGGCACAGGTCGGGCCGACCAGGAAAAGGGCCACCTCTCCCACCTGCATGGAGGAGACTGCAAGCTCCAAGGCCTGAGGAGAAGGAGGGTCAAGGGAAGGGAGAGCAGCCATAAGCCCAGACCTGGGAGGCCCCCTTCACAACCGTTGTCCCTGCAGGCTACGCAAATGCTCATTCGCCCGGGAAAAGGGCTATCCCAGGGAAGGCTGTTTATTTATTTATTTATGTACTGTATTTGTATACCGCCTTTCTCAGCCTTTCGGTGACTCAAGGCGGTTTACAAGCAGCAAGTCAATACACATACTACCAAAATGCAAATAAAAACATTACATACAATATAAAACCACAACAGAAACAATAAAACCCAAAATCATAGCATCTCGTTAAAACATTGTCCAATTCCATCGTCGAGTCCAGGAGTCCACAAACTAAGCCCAAGGACTAGATATGGCCGTCCAAGGTCATTTACCCGGCCTTTGCTCAGGGTCAACCTAAGTCTGAAATGAGTTGAAACCACACAACAACAACAATCCTATCTGATCAGCCAAAAGCAGATCCACACTTCCCATTGAAATACTAATAACTTTATATTTATTAAAATTGTTCTTCATTTTAATTATTGTATTGTTTTTAAGTGCTTTTTTCATATTATAATCTGGCCCTCCAACAGTTTGAAGGACTGTGGCCTGGCCCTATGTTTAAAAAGTTTGAGGACTCCTGGTCTAGTCATTCCATTTTCTGTCAGTTATATTTGTAAACGCTTGCTCAAACAACCATGCTTTAAGTTTCCTCCGAAATGTTAAAAGGGAGGGAGCCAATCTGATATCCCCAGGGAGGGCGTTCCATAGCTGAGGGGCCACCACCGAGAAGGCCCTAGCCCTCATCCCCACCAATCATACTTGTGATCGAGAGCAAGACCTCCCCAGATGATCTTAAGGTCCTAGATGGTTCATAAGGAAAGATGCGTTCGGGCATGTAAATTGGGCTCACTCACTCACCTGGATGGCCTCCCCTTGGCCCAGGACGAAGATCAGCCGGGGGTCCCTCTCCACCAGGCTCCCATCCTCCAAGGCGCCCAGCAGCTTCACGACTATTTCCTGCCCTGCCTGTGGTCGATCACCATGGCCCTGCTTCACCGGGCACTTCCTCAGGCACTTCCCTTCTGGGGGGCAAAGGGGGGTGGGCCAGTGAAGCCACATATAGAGGAGCCCCCCTCCATCCCCTCCTTTCCCCACTACTCACCAGCAAGGTCCTCCCAGCCGCTCGCCCCCCAGAGTGCCTGGAAGCTTCCGTCAGGTCCCATGAGGTGCTCCAGGCGCCGGTAGAAGGCCTTCTCCTCCTGCTGGGGGGCGGGCGCCGGGATGGAGGTGTGTGGCAGACAGAACTGGACCCTGCGGGGCAGGCGGGGGCTGCCTCGGGACCCCTCCTCCCTACGGGGTGGTGGCAGAGGTGGCGGAGAAGGTGGCAGAGATGAGGTGACCCTCGTCCTGGCTTCTTCTCTCGCTTCTGTTGGGTCCTGCAGCCCCTCTGGCATCGGCAGGTGGTCCTTCTCCATGGCCCCCTTCAATTGCCACCAAGGGGCCCCTTGCGGCTGGATGGCGGGAGCCAGGATGGCGGCAGTGCCTGTCTGGGTGGCCAAAGAGAGGCTGAGCGGCTGCTAATGCAATTACGGCCTCAGCTGGCGATTAGAGTAAGCCTTTCTCGCCCCCGCTGCTGCCACTGCTTGCACGCTCTTCTCTAGACCCAAGTGGGCCATTCTCAAGGAAGCTCCGAGGGATGGGCCAGCAGGGTAAAGTGGCCCCTGCCCTTTCTGTGGCCCCCAAAAGCCGGAGGAGGAGCAGAGAGCGAGGAGGCAAGGGGAAAGAGGCCCAGGCGTCCTGGCTGGGAATCATCACTGATGTGACTCCGCTCTGTAGCATTTCCAGCTGACTACTGCCCTCAAACTCTGCCTTTGCTTGTGGGCTTCCATAATAAGCCCCCTCCCCCTTATTGCCAATTGCACTGCAACATCTGGCCTGGTGCAGCTCCTCTGGAGGGATGCTGAAACACACGCGCGAATACACACTGCTTTGCTGGCAGATTAGGGCCTAATGCCCGTGGCTCTAATAGGCTTAGCAAGAGGGGCACGTGGCCAGTTATTCTGGTCTGGCATGGGGCTGGGCTGGGGGAGGGGGCAGAGCGGGTCTCTAGGGCTCTTCCCTTTGTGGTAACTGGACAGATGCCGGCGGCTGCCCCAAAGTCCATGCCCTGCGTGCCTGTCGCCTGCAAAAGACAGACTTCTTGTTAAGTGGAAACCAAACAGAAGAGCTCCAGGAAACTTGGTTCTGGAGATCCTTCCCAGGCCCAGAGGAGTGTCCGGGCCCCAAAGGCTTTGGGATCCGATCCATCCTTGACAAGGGGCCAACACATTTTTGTCCCAGTTCAAAAGGATTCCCCCAGCCTCTGAAGGGACAGCACAACCACCCATCCGGGCTCTTGATAGAAAAGGCAAAGGTGTTTCTGCCCTTGGAATTGGGCAAAGGGAGGGTGCCAATACAGCTGAGAGTGGCAGAGGTGGGTGGGTTGGTGGGCCGTCCTGGGAGGTGACCCGCTGTTCCAATGCAGGATGATGGGAAGGAGAAGGGCAGGGCCTTGTGCAGGGAGAGCGCTGTGCTCAGCTGCCAAGAGAGGAGCACGCCTTTCCCAGCCTTCCTTGCCTCTTCTGCTCCATGACCAACTCTTTTGCAAAACCTCCTCTCCCAAACTGAGCATGTGCCAAATGGGGGCGACAAACAAACCCTCCCCCTTCCTGAAACAGGGCTGGAGCAAAACACAAGGAACAGGACACAGAGCAGCCTCAGCTTCCGATGACCCGCCAAGGACTCAGGAAACCTCGTAGGGAAGAGTGGGCACAGCAGCATCACACAAAGGCAAGTAAATGGGGGCCTAAAGGGGTATTTTATTGATCCGCTCCTCAAAATGTACAAAAAATTAGAAAACAAGCCCCCCACCCTCCCACAAACATTAACCAGTCCAGGGCACCCACAGCGAGCGCGGTGACCAAGAGGCGAGGAGGCAAAGCCAAGCAGTGCTGCCCCTGGCCCAGCCCTCCTCTGCCGCCCCGCTTCGCTTTCAAGGACGGAGGTTGCGATGGCGGGATGAAGGGACCCGTCCTCCGCGCTCATGGGCCACTGGGCTCCTCCGCAGGCAAAGTGACAGTCGAGGCGAGACCCCTTCCTTGCTCCTCCTCCTCCTCACAGATCTTCCTTGGGTGCTGACTTCTTCTTCTTCTTGGGCTTCTCGTCCTCCTGCAGGACCGGCGGGTAGGTGGCTTCCCGCTTCAAGTAGCTGACAAAGTCACTCACCTCACGGCCTCCCTGTAAAAGGCAAGAGGGCACCAGGCTAAGCCCCTTCCCAGACACATTTTGGACCATCTCACTGCACCAGAGACTGCAGGCCTTCTGGGCTCCCAGCATCCCCATGGGCTCTTCTTCCTCATCATGATCCACATGAAGGAGCCCCCTTTTATCATCTTGTTCTATAAGTCAGTAACAATAATTTCATTTCTTACCCACCTCTCCTCGTGGAACTACTTGACTTACCTCGTATTTCTTTGGATTCTGCTTGCTTCCCGCAGGAGAAAAGTAAATGGTGGGGAACCTGTCAAAGAGTACAGAACAGTCAGCCGGCACCTTTGGCAGAGGGACTTGCAGGAAAAGCCCTTTGTGCTCCAGGCCTTAGGCGCACATCTTCTTCTGAGGCAAGTGTGGGTGGGCGCAGCACCATGAGTACCAATTGCAGCTCTGGGGTCAGAGTGAAGAAGGGGAGCCACGAAAACACAGTTCCACTATGTCTCCTGGGTCATCAGATGGGAGCCCCTCCCTTCGCAACAATATAGAAGTATATAATACTAATACTGTGCTATGCTAATAATATATTGCATGTACATATATTGATCATAATATTGTAATATATTGTAATTATAATAAAATATAATTGTATATCATATATTACCTGTAATAATATAATCTACTGTATATACATATGTACATGTAATATACATATACACATGTAATATTACTAATAATAATAGTTTTAATGGTATTGAATAGCTGTCTATGTTGTAAAGCCGCCTTGAGTCACCTTTGGGTTCGAGAAAGGCGGGGCAGAAATATCGTAAATAAATATAAACATAATAATATTGCAGTTATAGCACAATATAGTAATATATAATACTAGTATTGCTCTATGCTAATAGTATGATATATTGTACGTATATATGTTGATCATAATATTGTAATACATTACAATACCAATAATAATTCAATATAGTAATATAATAATTGTATATTATATATTACCTGTAATATTACTAATATTACCGCAGTATAGTGATTCAATATAATATAGTAATATGTAATACTAATATCATGCTATGCTAATAAATATATTGTATGTACATATATTGATCATAACATTGTAATATATTGTAATTATAATAAAATATAATACAATTGTATGGCACATATTACATGTAATATTACTAATAATATTGCAGTATAGTGATGTAGTACAATACAGTAATATACAATACTAATATTGTGCTATGGGTATGTACATATAATATTGATCATAATATTGTAATACATTATAATACGAATAATAATACTACAATATAGTAATACAATAATTATATATTATATATTACCTATAACATTACTAATACTATTGCAGTATAGTGATATAGTAGAATATAGTAATATATAATGCTAATGTTGTGCTATGGTAATAATATGTACTTATAACTTGTAAGCCGCTCTGAGTCCTCTTCGGGGTGAGAAAGATGGGATAGAAATGTTGTAAATAAATAAATAAAATTACCTGGCCCTGATTGTTTTTCTCACTGGGGGGACTCAAAAGTGGATAAATAAATAAATGCCAATATTTCGCTGTCCATACTATCACACGGACACAGGTGGGACTCTACCAGGAAGGGGCTGGTCTTACCCTCGGACTTCATAGGGAGAAGGCACATCATTGGCTGTGGCGTCCATCTTGGCGATTATGATGTTAGGGTCGTTGCTGAGCTGTTGAGAGGCAAGCCAGTCAAAAGTTACGACAGGCAGTGGCAGCAGTACGAGACACGTTTCTCAACCTCGTGGTGCTGCTTCCCACCAAGGAAGGAAAGAGTGTGCATCCAGGAAGACAGAAAGGCAGCCTCACTGCAGGTGGACCCCTTCTGCCCGCCCGCCCGTTCCCACCTGGCATCAATCACACTCCAGGCCCACCTTCTCCCCCAGCTCCTTGTACTTGGGCTCCAGATTCTTGCAGTGGCCGCACCACGGTGCGTAGAACTCCACAAGGACGTCCTTGCCTTCCGCGTTGACAATCTCATCAAAGTTCTCAGCCACAACCACCTGGGAAGAGAACCCAGAAGATTATTTTTTTAAAAAACAAAAAAACAAAACAAAACAAGCAAACAAATGGAACAGAAAGGCAAAGCCAGAGGCTGATTGCCATTTGGAAATCAGTGTAAATCATGTCCCAATAGCCCCAAGGTAAGTGTCAGTGTGTGTGTGAGCTCTTACCTTCACAGGCCCCTCATTGTTTTCTGGGATGGGCTCAGACTTCAAGTATCTTTTCAGGTTCCCATCAAAATAATCCTGAAGGAATCTCTCCAAGGCTTTCCCGTCGCGCCTGCGCAACAGACAAGAGAGCCAATTCAGCCACGCTTCTCCCTCAGTCACTCAGGCCCATTTTACGGCTGCACGGAGGGGACACTTACGAGAACTCCTCCTGCATGGCGTACTTCTCCCCCTTGGCTGTCCTGATGGCTACAACTGGGATGTCACCGGTGGAGCTGTCAAGGCCAAACTCTGAGATCTCATGGCCAAAGGTCTTTGAACTGGCAACAGCAAAGTTGAGCTTGTGCCCGGCATCCAGGAAACTCCGGGCCACTTTCATCACCCTGTAAACACAATGTTGTCAGCAGTATTTCTAGCTCTCATTTCCCAATCAGAAATTAGAAATGAAAAGATTAAATGGGTCACTGTGAGTTTTCTGGGCTATATGGCCATGTTCCAGAAGCATTCTCTCCTGACATTTTACCCACATCCTCAGAGGTTGTGAGGTCTGTTGGAAACTAAGCAAGTGGGGTTTATACATTTGTAGAATAATGTCCAGGATGCAGGAAAGAACTCTCGTCTGATTGAGGCAGATGTGAATGTTGCAACTGGCCACTAATTAGCACTGAATGGACTTGCAGCTGCAAAACCATGCTGCTTCTTAGCTGTGGGAATCCTTTGTTGGGTGGTGTTAGCTAGCCCTGATTGTTTCCTGTCAGAAATTCCTGTTTTTTAAGTGTTCCTCTTGGGATTAAAAATGCAATAGTTTAACCTGCAGAAAAATACTAGGAGGTGGTTACAAATTGCAAAAGTGGAGGACCATACCTCATTGTCCTGCATCATGGGTTTTAGTGTCAGACTGACACAAACACACACTCAATTCTACCTTCCCCCGCTTTTCTGTCTGCATTTTTCCTTCTCAACTCTACTCTTCAATTCAGCACCTCTGTGTCTCTCTATTCTTAAAGATCTTATTTTGAAAAACATTTCCTGTGCAATTTTCCCTTGTTCCATATGTCAGGTCACTTTATTTATTATTATTATTATTATTATTATTATTATTATTATTATTATTATTATTAATTTACTTTATATTTATACTGTCCCTCTCAGCCTTGCGGTGACTCAAGGCAGTTTACAAGGCAAAATTCAATGCCACAAAATACAAGTACAATTTAAAAATATTAACATCAATACAGTCATGACAATTGTATGTAATATATACCTTGTAAGCCGCTCTGAGTTCCCTTCGGGGTGAGAAGGGCGGCATATAAATGTCGCAAATAAATAAATAAACAGCAGTAAAAACATAAGTGAATAAATCCTCAATAAAAACATTGTCCAATTCAATTTTCTTATGTCCATTACTCAGTATTTGCAAATGCTTTAACAGCCATGTCTTGAGTTTTTTCCGAAACGTTAGGAGCAAAGAAGCTGATCTAATCTCCTTGGGGAGGACGTTCTCTTCTTCACCTTTTACCCACCATCTCTCTCTCTAGTACTTGGCAACCTTTATCTCTCCAATTCCTTCACTCTTTACAATCTCCTTACTTCCCCTCTCCTCTCTTTAACCCATTCTTTCACTATCTCCTTCTTATACATTTCAATTTTCAAATCCCAATGTTTCACGAAAATCACAAAGGCAGAGGAATCCCAGAAGGGTTTCAAAGCTTTGTGTCCTTGGCATCTACTGGAGAGGCAACTCACCTGTTGCGCCAGTAGTTTGACCCTTTGGGATTCTTTTCATAGTCCACATCGTAATACGCCACCAGAAGGTCCTTCCCTTGGATCAGCTCTTTGTTGTCTTCTGTCATATGCGGGCAGAGGCCGAATCTGAAGAACAAAAGAAGCGCCAGGATTGTTTTTAGTGTGCAGAAGAACTTACGCTGGAGCAGCCCCCCCACCGGGGAAGCAGTGGCGGCAGAACTCACATGTTCTCCTGAAGGAACTTCTTGATCTTGCCGGTGGTGATCTTGTCTTCTGTGTATCGCACAGAGCTGTCCTCAAATTTGTTGGCTAAGTGTTGAGGCCGGAACAGGAAGATTCCCCTGGAAAATGTTAGCCAATGCAGCTGAGAGTGGGCAAGACATCCCCCCTCCCCCTGGCAATGTTTTTTGGTGTACTTTTAAATTGCTACTAGTCATGGGGAGCTTTTGGCAAGACTTGGTCAGAGAAGACTTGTTCCCCTACCACATCATTAATTCCATGTGCACGTGGAGAAATGGTAACTTATCTTTGCATTTTGATTCACCCCCACCCAGAGGACAGCTTTGGCAACTACAAGATGCAATGTGTTACCATCAGCTCCTTTTGATTTTATTTATTTATATGACATATATATATATATATACACACACACACACACACACACACACACACAGACATATATATTTATAAGTGTGGAATGTTCTAAAAGGAATGGTTGTGCCTTGGTTTCTATTGAAACCCTTCAACATTCTTTGTTTGTGTGCCCTAAATATAATAAACAAAAGAAATACAAATGTTCCCAATGACAAGTATGTTATAAAATTCCTTATCTTCTGACACCTCTAAGGTCATGTGGCCAGCATGACTGAATGGAGAGTCAAAGCGGTACCTATTGATCTATTCACATTTGCATGTTTTCAAACAGCTAGGTTGTCAGAAGCTGGGGCTAACAGCGGGAGCTCACTCTGTCCCGCAGATAAGAACAGCTGACCCTCTGGTCAGCAAGTTCTACAGTTTAGCGGTTAACCTGCTGAATTTTTGAGATTATTAACTCTTAATTATGCTTTCCTTTTTATTTGCTACTTCCTCTGGTTGTATAGGTCTGTACTGTGATTTCCTGTTGAGTGTGGCTGAGCATGGACAGGAGAGACCTGGTTTCTTGGAATCTGACACTGAAGCCACTAGGCTATGCTGCCTCAAAGGAACAGGGGATTCTTGGCCGGATTCATTCCTCTGTGGCTGTGACTTGCCCAGGGCTACCGTGGCCAAGTGGGGATTCATACCCTCCTCTCCCCAAATCCCACCAGACATTCACCCTGCTAAGAGGCAGGCTGTTATCCTAAACAGCTCTCAGGTGAGACTCAGCCTCTCTTTCCACTTCAGCTTTCTGCCAATAAGGCAGCAGGTGGCTCAACCAATTCTCCCCAGGGAAAGTTACAGTAACTGATAGTCAGCAGGTGCCTCAAGCCCCAGCTTGCCTTCTCCCTTCTGGGAATGGGACAAACAAGCCAAAGCCAGTCCCCAAAAGATCTCCCACGGAGGTTTCCCCTTCCTGCAAGTGGCCAAATAGAGCTAGGGCTCAAGTCAAGAGCCTAAAAGCATAAAGCCATGCCGAGAAGAACATCAATGCACATCACCTTTCAACAGAAATTACGGTGGGTCTTGTCAAAGAGATATGCAAAGGAAGAATTTGCCAAATGGGTGGAGAAACTCAACCCTGTGACTAGAACATAAGGAAGAACGGTGCGCAACGCCTGGGAGTGCTGCAGAAGCCCACGGAGCACTTACTCGCCATCGGGCTCATACTTCTTGATCAGCTCTTCGTCACTGGTGTGCCCAAACCGGTAGTTGTCCCGCAAGTTGCTTGCCGCTTTCATGAACTCTGAGTGAGCGTCACCAAACAGCTCCTTGAAGAAGCCTGAGACAGTGCAAAGGGGAAATCGGGGCAAAGTCAGAAATGGACAGGAGATGCTCTTCAGCCTTGCCAATGACCACACCTGTTAAAAGTCCTCTTTCTCTCCCTCTCCTTCCATCTGTGTGCCTGTCTTGTCTCTGTTTATATCCTAAAGAAAGACTTCTTGACWCCTTGTTAGAAGAAGGCGGCAACCTCCTTTGATTTGAGCTTCACAGATGCCAAGGCTCTGGCCCCTGTTCCAGGTGGAGGCCTCCTGKCCCCCCCCCCCCCCAATTCATCACTGATTTACTTACCCACCACTGCAGCATCCTTCTCGCTGATGAACTTTTCAAATGTATCAGATCGTAGGGCAACTGAGGCCGGCCCAGCCTGTTTCTTGAGATGGCTCACGATTCCATCTTAGGAGAAAGGCACAATGGCATGATTAGAAGGACTCCACGCAAGGCGCACTGATTGAACCACAAAAGGCCACAAGCCCCTCTCCCTCTCTATTTAAGGAAGTCCGTGCATCCAGTATCCTTTAATGTGGCATTGACTCCATTGAGCTGCAGCCCTAAATAGTAAAAGGGTGAGGTTTAGGTTAGTGGTAGAGCTTTGTTTGAAAACTAAAGTTAGGGTTAATGACAGAGTTTTGGTGAGGTCATTAGGGTTAGGAAAATGTTACGGGTCAGGCTTTGGTTTGGGATTAGGTTAAGGGTTAATTTTAATAGGATTAGGGTTGGGATTGGGGCTAGGTTTGCAATTACAGTTGTTAATGCAGCATTGGTCCCACTGAGCCACAACCCAATACAGGGATGATGATGATAATAATAATAATGAGTTTATTCTTATATCCCATCCCCATCTCCCCAAAGGGACTCGGGACGGCTTACAGACGGCACAAAGTGCCTAAAAACAAACATAGAAAAGTAAATTATAAAATACAAACATATACACATATAAAAACATCAACTCAGACTCAATAAAACTAAGGGCAGCAACAAGTGCTGGTAAGATGGTGTAAACATGGCCAAGCTGTAAACAATATGAATTAATGAAGTCCAAGTTGCAACAATGGAGTGAGGGCATAAGATAAAGGGTGTGAGAATACTGCACAGAGCAACTAGTGACTAGCATTGTTGAAAAGCTCCGTCTTCAAATCCCTGTACTGTACTGTAGACAGTATGGAGGCCTGTCTAATTTCCCTGGGAAGGGCATCCCAAAGTTGGAGGGCCACCACCGAGAAATCCCTCTCCTTCGTCTCCACCAACCATACTTGAGAGGGTGATAGATGTGCGAGGAGGGCCCTCCCAGCAGATCTTAGAGCCCGCGCCAGTCTATGGGGGTGATGTGGTCATGCAGATAGGCAGGACCTGAACTGTTTAGGGCTTTATAGGGGATAACCTGCACCTTGAATTGGGACCAGAAATTTATCAGCAGCCAATGAAGCTGTTTTAATACAGGCATTGGCTGCTCCCTATAGCTAGCTCGTTAGTAGCCTGGCTGCCAATCTTTGCAGCAATTGTATTTTCCAAACTGTCTTCAAAGGCAGCCCCACGTAGAGTGCATTCCTGTAATCCAATCTGGATGTATGGACCACCTTGGCCAAGTCTGCCTCCTCGAAGTACAGTCACAGCTGGCGCACAAGCTTTAACTGTGCAAAGGCCCTCCCAGCCATGCCAACATCTGATCTTCAAGCATCCAGGAGAACTCCCAGACTGCGGACCTGTGTCCTCAAGGGGAGTGTAACCCCATCCACTGCAGGTTGCCACCCAATATCCTGCTTGGCCTGGTGACTGATCAGGAGAACCTCTGTCTTAAGTTTCAGCTTGTTAGCCCTCATCCAGTCAATAATGGCTGCCAGGCACTAGTTCAAGATCTGAGGGGCTTCCTTGGAATTCGGTGGAAATGAGTAGTAGAGTTGAGTGTCATCTGTGTAGAGATAGAGCCAAACTCCAAAACTCTGCATGACCTCATCAAGCTGTTTCCTATAGATTCAATTATTATTTATTTATTTCATTTATACCCTGCCTTTATCACCCTGCAGAAGACTCCAGGTGGCTTACAGACACTGGCAAAATTCAATACTGCATATAAACTTAACAATAAAAACAAATGCCACCCAACTATAAAATAGCTCCCATAGATGGTCATGGGACAACTCCAGAGAGTGCTGTGAAAGACCCCCACCTGCCCGCCAGGAGCAGAGGGGCTCCTGCAGACCCACCTGCCGTCCGGGGCCCATCGTAAGTCCCCGACTCCTCCCCATTGCGGAAGATCTTGAGAGTTGGGTAGCCACTCACGCCGTACTTGTTGCAGGTATTGGAGTTGGCCGTGCAGTCAACCTGCAGAAGAGGAAGGAAGAGCGAAACCACATCCTTAGCGGGGAGGAGCCTGACACAAGCCCGGTCTGTGTAGCAGGAAGGGCACATCCCCGGAGGGCCCCCCATCCCTGCTTTCGGCATCTCAGCTTCAGTCATAGATAGGCCTCAGAGCCCTCCCCTCTGCCTCCCCATGGGAACGTGGCTGTTGATGATATACCATATCAAGATGCATCACTCACCTTGACGAGCGGGACCACGCCCTTCAGCCGGGTGGCTGCCGACTCGTATTCCGGGGCCAGGCGTTTGCAGTGGCCACACCTAGAGAGGACAGAGGGTGATAGTATGATAGCTGGGTCTGGAAGCTCCATGCTTTACACACATTCTGCAACGGCGGTTGTGAATAAGGGAAGGGGGGAGCGGCAGACTGAGGGTAGGAATATACTTCAATTTGGTGGAAGGATAGAAAAGAGGGGAGGGTTAGGATAAAGTTTAGGGCAAGGTTTAGGGTTTGGAGTAGGGTAAGGATTAGGGTTAGAATTAGGTTTAGGGGTTACATTTAGGGTTAGAGTAAGGTTTAGGGTTTGAGTTAGAATTAGGGTTCGGGTAAGGATTTTACCATTAAAGAATTCTTACATTCCTTCTATAATATCTGTGTTCTGTTCTGCGTTACGCAAACAGAGCTCCTGAAGGAGCTAAGCAGAAACAGCGTAAGGCTCAGAGCTTCCGGACCCAGCTTTCATACTATTACCAGACAAAGGACCCTGTCAGGCCCCATACCTTCCTCTGACTCTTCTTCTGACCCGAGATCCGCCCCCGATTATTTATTTATTTATATCGCTTCTACCCCGCCCTTCTCACCCCCGAAGGGGGACTCAGGGCGGCTTACATGGGCAACAATTCAATGCCATAATATCAATACAACATAAAATCAAATACATAGAAAATTAACAATAACATTAATTAAAATCACATACTCATATACTAACATAGTCGCCTAATCAAAATCACATATCAGTTTCCTATTGTCATAATCCTGTGGTCCGGTTCAGTATCTAAGTGTTGCTAAGTCCACTAGCCGAAAGCCTGCCTCCAAAACCACAACTTTAGTTTTTTCCTAAAAGTGAGGAGGGGGAACGCTGGTCTAATCTCATTTGGGAGCGAATTCCACAAGCGAGGGGCCACCACTGAGAAGGCCTTGTCCCTCGTCCCCACCAGATGTGTTTGTGACGCCGGTGAGACCGAAAGCAGGGCCTCCCCAGTAGATCTTAAATTACGAGGTGGAACGTAGAGAGAGATACATTCAGATAAGTAAGATTGAACTGGGCCCCATCCCAGCTCAAGGGGGGGCACCCACACTTGCAGAATTAATAGTCTGACACTGCCTGGGCATCCTTGGCTCCCTGAGTATCTCATTCCCTTGTCCGCTTTTTGAAATAAATAAGTCCAATCAATGTGGTGCAGTTGTTGGGAGTGTTGGCCTAAGTCAGTCCATGTAACCAGAATTTAAATGCCATCTCAGCTATGAAAACCCACTTGGCTTGGAGACCTGGAGCAATTCACATTATCTTAGCCTAAGATGGGAGAGGAAAGAGCCAATATGTTCTCTGAATGAAGAATTCCAAAGAATGTGTAACACAAGATAACTGTGAATGGGAGCCAACATAACATTAAAACTGGACAAGAGCAAGCAAAGGCGAACTTCAACCCTCAAGGTGTTTTGGACTTCAACTCCCTCAGCCTCAGGGCCTTTACTTTTTCCCACTTAAACGGCTGAGGGGGGAAAGGAAGGGGTCTGAGGTTGCTAGGAATTGTGGGAGTTGAAGTCCAAAACACCTGGAAGGATCATAGAATCAAAGAGTTGGAAGTGATCCTGTGGGCCATCCAGTCCAACCATTTGCCAAGAAGCAGGAAAATCGCATTCAAAACACCCCTGACAGATGGCTATCCAGCCTCTGTTTAAAAGCCTCCAAATAAGGAATCTCCACCACACTCTGGGACAGAGAAGACTATGATGATGTTTTGGCCAGAATTAAAATACTTTTGAGAATCTCCTTTCTTGTAGTTTGAAGCCATTGGGAGGGGCAAAGTTGGCCAATTCCTGGGTTAGACCATAGATTTTTCAATGTGTAGATTAGCTTTTAGCAGATTATACTGATCCTCAACCCTCATGCCTTTCTTTTCCATCACCATATTTACTTCCAACCTTTGTCTGCGTTGTACACTAACTAGCAACACCCATACTGACTTGTATTAATAATAATAATATACTGGAGGAGACGTGGCTTTAAAAGGGGAAATTTCAGATATTTCCCCAATGCCCATATGTCATGATTTACTGCCATATTGGCCTATTTCTGCAGTAGGTCTATGTTCACAGAAAATGCTGATTGTTTGAGAAATCAGTGCTCCAAAGAAGAAGTTACTATTCAAGGATAACAGTATATCCGGACAAAACCAGCTAGCTGTTGGCTAGTTAGAACCCCCAAGTTTCCCAGTCGCTCTGAAGCCATGTTTGCAACAGACTAACAGATAAGATACAGTCATGGTTAGAGAACAATGGACCATAGTTATGTTATAGTTGTGCCATTGTTAGGATCCCACGTGTGCTATAAATGTCAATCGAAATCATAAACAACTAATGAACAACTGCATAAAGGTAGTAAAGGTTTTCCCCTGACATTAAGTCCAGTCATGTCTGACTCTGGGGTGTGGTGCTCATCTCCATTTCTAAGCCAAAGAGCCAGCGTTGTCCGTAGACACCTCCAAGGTCATGTGGCCGGCATGACTGCATGGAGTTCTGCATTAAGATCACTGACCAAAAGGTCATGAGTTCGAAGCCAGCCCGGGCTGGAGTGGGTGTCCAGCCATTGTGTAGCCTGTTGTCGACCTTTGCAACCCGAAAGACAGTTGCATCTGTCAAGTAGGAAAATAAGGTACCACCTTGTGTGGGAGGCAAAATTTAACTAATTTATGAGGCCATAAAGAAAAAAGACTCCGGGGAATGTGGAATGCGGGAGAACTTCATCGGTGTCGTTGATGGACGATGAAAAGCAGCAGCTCCCCTGGCGGCCAGAAAAAAGTTAAATAGCCTCGGTGTATTTGTCTGTTAAACGTTGTTTGTCAAACTGGCATTGAATGTTTGCCATATATGTGTTTACTGTAATCCGCCCTGAGTCCCCTGCGGGGTGAGAAGGGCGGAATATAAGAACTGTATGTGACCGGCATGACTGAATGGAGCGCCATTACCTTCCCGCCGGAGCGGTACCTATTGATCTACTCACATTTGCATGTTTTCGAACTGCTAGGTTGGCAGAAGCTAGGGCTGACAGCGGAAACTCACGCCGCTCCCCGGAATCAAATCTGCGACCTTTCGATCAACAAGCTCAGCAGCTCAGTGCGCCACTGGGAGCTCCGAACAACTGCATAGCTAACTTAAACCAATGAAAATGTATATTCCATTTACTATAAATGCTCTGCAGCCCCCTTGGGGGTTGCGACAAACCCTTTGATTGCATCCCTGTATGCTTGTTTGTTGTTATTGCTATGGCCACGCAATAATAAATAGTTTTTTGCAGTTTAAAAGATTCAACTTTCGTGGTGTCCATCCTTGCCCTCCCTATTGGAAAGGGGGCTTCTGCCTTTTTGGGAAATATTCTGGTTTCGTTGCCCCTACAATACTACTACTGGTAACACCCCTTGTGCTGTGTGTTTCTTATGGAGGAGAAACAGGGGGAGGTTTCCTTTAAGAGAAGGAAGGTTGCAGCTTCCGCAGAGCAGGGCCCCGCCCCTCCCAACAGCCAATGGGGAGCAGACACGGCGTGCGGCCCCGCCCCCAACGGCATGGGGGGCTCCCTTTGCATGCCGGGAGGGGCGCCCCTGAAGGCTGAGGCCTTCGCACTCGCCTCGGAGCCTCTTATTCGGTTCGAACCGCCTTCCTTCCCTGTCTGCCTCCCTCCCCTTTAGGCCTCCTAACTCACCAAGGCGCGTAGAACTCGACCAAGGCGACGCTGCGGTCCGAGAGGCCGCTGTCGAAGTCGTCGTCGCCGAGCTCGAGCACGTCGGAGGCCCCGCCCGGCCTGGGCGTGAGGGCGGCGAGGAGCAGCGCGAGCAGGAGGGCCTCCATGGACACCCGGAGACGGAGAGGACGCAGGAAGAGGAGGCCTCGGCTTTCGCTTTCTGTGGCGCTTGCTCGCTCGCCGCAGCGGGAAGCTAAAAGAACGGCCGGAAGTCCCGCCCCCTCCGGAAGAGAGGCCGGATCTGCAGTGTGGCAGGCGCTCATTGGCCAGCACCCGAGCGCGCCCAGCCAATCGAGGAGCACCGCCAGGGAAGAGGGCGGGGCCTCACTTCGTCGCCATGGCGACGCCTAGAGCCGGGCTGTTCCCAGAAGCGCCGCCCCGCCCTCCCTCCCTCCCTCCCTCCCTCTGCAACCAGGATCTGGAGTAGGAAGGGATCCTCGGAGGCCATCCATCCCAACCCCCGTTCTGCCACAGTAAAAACCCTCCCTGCAGATAGCCATTCAGCCTCTGCTTAAAATAAAATCAGGCTGGATCTACACTGTCCTATAATAATCATCATGTCTTTGAAAACCCTATACTAGTTATATCCTAACTTGTTCATGCCCAGCATTATTTTTAAATGAGTGTTTCTCAACCTGGGGGTCGGGACCCCTGAGGGGGTTGCGAAGGGGTGTCAGAGGGGTCGCCAAAGACCATCAGAAAACACAGTATTTTCTGATGGTCATGGGGATTCCATGTGGGAAGTTTGAGCCAATTCTATCGTTGGTGGAGTTCAGAATGTTCTTTGATTGTAATGAACTATAAATCCCAGCAACTACAACTCCCAAAAGTCAAGGTCTATTTTCCCCAGGCTCCACCAGTGTTCACATTTGCGCATATTGAGTATTTGTGCCAAGTTTGGTCCAGATCCACCATTGCGTGAGTCCACAGTGCTCTCTGGATATAGGTGAACTACAACTCCCAAACTCAAGGTCAATACCCACCAAACCCTTCCAGTGTTTTCTGTTGGTCATGGGAGTTCTGTGTGGCAAATTAGGCTCAAATCCATCGCTGATGTTCAGAATGCTCTTTGATTATAGATGAACTATAAATCCCAGCAACTTTAACCCCCAAATTACAAAATCAATCCTCCCCCAACCCTACTAGCATTTACATGTGGGTGCATTGGGTATTTGTGCCCAGTTTGGTCCAGTGAATGAAAATACATCTTGCATATTTAATATTTACATTATGATTTATAACAGTAGTAAAATGAAGTAGCAACAAAAACAATGTTATGGTTGGGGATCACCACAACATGAGGGACTGTATTAAGGGGTCAAGGCATTAGGAAGGTTGAGAACCACTGGTTTAGACTATTACATTTGGCCCAGCCATTTGTTTTTAAATGCTTGTGTATTACTGTTTATTGTTTATTTTTTGTTATTTATATTAATTGCATTGTATTTTTGTTATTGCTTTTGTTTATTAATGTACTGTGGACTTAGCTTCATGTTGGAAAAAACAAATAAACAATCCACTATTGCACTTTTCAAGGAGAACATCTTGAGTGCCAGGGATATTAATTGCATTGTATTTTTGTTATTGCTTTTGTTTATTAATGTACTGTGGACTTAGCTTCATGTTGGAAAAAACAAATAAACAATCCACTATTGCACTTTTCAAGGAGAACATCTTGAGTGCCAGGGAGGTGTAGTGGTTTATGTATTACATTCGACATTAGAGCCCCCAGTTTGAAACCCCATTCAGCTGTGCAAATCCACTAGGTCAGGAGTCCCCAAACTAAGCAGCAGAATGAGATGATAAAATCATAGTGACCATTGAGGGGTAGGAAATGGACATTACTCACTATCTCTGAGGATGCTTGCCATAGATGCAGGTGGGGCGTCGGGAGGGAGTGCCTCTGGAGCATGGCCATGTAGCCTGAAAGAGACCTACAACAACCCAGTGATTTCAGCCATGAAAGCCTTCCACAGGAGCCCCCTGTGGCACAGTGGGTTAAACCCCTGTGCCGGCAGGACTGAAGACCGACAGGTCGCAGGTTCAAATCTGGGGAGAGGCGGATGAGCTCCCTCTATCAGCTCCAGCTCCTCATGTGGGGACATGAGAGAAGCCTCCCACAAGGATGATAAAACATCAAAACATCTGGGCGTCCCCTGGGCAATGTCCTTGCAGACGGCCAATTCTCTCACACCAGAAGCGACTTGCAGTTTCTCAAGTCTCTCCTGACACGACAAAAAAAAAAAAAAAGCCTCAGTTAAGATCATCAGATGGTGGTGGCGTATAAATAAAGTATATTATTATTATTATTATTATTATTATTATTATTATTATGGGATCACAGGCCTGAAAAAGTTAGACAATGAATATGTCTAACTACTCTGGGACTTCTGAATTCAGACTGACAAGAGTTTTGGAGCACTTTATCATCTATGTTTTATTTTAATTGCTTGTATTGTTGTGATTATTGCCTGTATTGTTGTGTTTGGGCTCAGCCTCATGTAAGCCGCACAAATAAAGTGTTATTATTATTATGTTAATACTCCTGACCTCACGGCCCTGTTAAAATGGAATGTTAGTGTTGCAATCCCAGGTGACAGCAGGATTGAAGAGAAACAACTGGAAAAACTGCCATGATTTAAAGATCGAGCTGCAAAGGCTCTGGCACAAGCCAGTAAAGATGGCCCCAGTGGTGATCAGCACACTGGGTGCAGTGCCTAAAGACTTGGCCTGCACTTAAAAACAATTGGCACTGACAAGATTACCCTCTGCCAGCTGCAAAAGGCCACCTTACTGGGAGCTGCATGCATTATTCGCCGATACATCACACAGTCCTAGACACTTGGGAAGTGTCTGATGTGTGATCCAATACAACAGCCAGCAGAGTGATCTTGTCTGCTGTGGACTCATCTTGTTGTGTTTCAAATAATCATCATTTATTTCTTACCTGTCTTTCGTGATGGCTTGAGGCAGGTTACAAAACAATTAAAACACACAAGCACAGGAAAAACACTACAAATACACTCACTAAAATGTACCTCCATAAAAGTAACGCATCAAAATGCATGTCTACAAAATACAAACAACACACACTGAAAATTCATGTTTAAAGAGTGGCAAGGCCTGCTGGAAGAGATAGTTTTAAAATTTCGACAGCTCATTTATCACTGGCAGGTAGTTCCAATCTTGGAGCAGCCAATGAAAAGGTTCTCCAGTCATATTATATGCTTTATAAAAAATGTAATAATATTAATATAAAATAAATAATATAATGACCTGCATTATCTGCTTTGAACTGGATTATACTATCCACACTGCCTCATAATCCAGTTCAAAGCAAATAATCAGGATTTTATATGGCCACGTAGATGGGTCCTGAGATTGCACCATCTACCTTTATTCTTGCGCCACTTTCCCCAGAGTCAATACCAAAAGGGGGCAGTGGTTTCAGGAAAGTGGAAGCTCAGAATGATTGGATCCTAGCACTTTATAATTTCTGAATATGTTTTAAAAGCCATTATGGGATGAGAAGTGACACAGAAATACTTCTGACTGAGGATTGTGTCTTGCTGTGTTTCCTACTAGGAGGAGCCTCCCTTGCTGCCACCGCCCTTCCCTCCCTCCTGCGCCTCATCCTGGGAAGCAAGAGGTCAGGCTGCAAGGGTCAGAAGATCAAGGGAGGCCACAATGCCTTATCAAGGCCCAAGGTCCAAGGAAGACGCCCTGTCTGCAGCAGCACATGACACAGTGGCGCAAGAGCCAACAGAAACAAGAAAGAAAGACTCAAGATCTACCTTTTTTGGCTAAATGACCTGGCCAAAATTAAGGTTCACATTAGATTTGCATCATATAGCTATGTTTTTTGTTGTTCATTCGTTTAGTCCGACTCTTCGTGACCTCATGGACCAGCCGATGCCAGAGTTCCCTGTAGGCTGTCACCACCTCCAGCTCCTTCAAGGATAGTTATGTTAGGCAATATAAAATCCAGATTTATCTGTCTTGAAGTGGATTTATATGGAAATATAGAAGAGGCCATAGTACTGAGCCAAAACCAAAGGGGAAGCTGCTTCAGGAAATGCACCTGGAGCTCTGCTTTGAGAGACCTCATTCTATTGTAATGCTATACGACTCTGACATTTGTAGTTTGGGGAGACACCTGCACTCTTTGGCAGAGAAGGCTCAAGGCCTTGTCAAACTACATCCCCCATGACTACATAGCATTGAACCAAGGCAATTCAAGCTGGATCTACACTGCCCTCTATCCCAGGATCTGATCCCAGATTATTTGGCCATGTAGATATAGAGCCCTTCCACAGAGCCATATAACCCAGAATATCAAGGCAGAAAATCCCACAATATCCGCTTTGAACTGGGTTTATCTGGGTCAACACGGCCATATAATCCAGTTCAAAGCAGATAATCTGGGATCAGATGCTGGGATAAAGGGCAGTATAGAAGTGGCCTCAGTGTACACCAGGCATGGGCAAACTTTGGCCCTCCAAGTGTTTTGAACTTCAGCTTCCACAATTCCTAACAGCCAGTGAAATGTACCCCAAGATTTTCTTTTCTGTTGCTGAAAAAAATTCTAAGCAGGCAGCAACCGTAGTGATAAAATGGCAAAGAGGGCCCTTCTTGCACATGACATTTGCCAGCAAATAGCGGCTTGCTGTGTGTCCTCTGGGCTGTATGGCCATGTTCCAGAAGTGTTCTCTCCTGAAGTTTCGCCTGCATCTGTGGCAGGCATCCTCAGAGGTCATGAGATCTGTTGGAAACTAAGAAAATGAGGTTTATATATCTGTGGAATGTCCAGGGTGGTAGAAAGAACTCTTGTCTGTTTGAGGCAAATTGGTCACCTAATTCCACACTTGCCTTGTTTCCAACAGACCTCATAACGTCTGAGGATGCCTGCCATAGATGTGGGCAAAACGTCAGGAGAGAATACTCTAGAACAGGGGTCCTCAAACATTTTAAACAGAGGGCCAGGTCACAGTCCCTTAAACAGTTGGAGGGCCAGATTATAATTTGAAAAAAAATATGAATAAATTCCTATGCACACTGCACATATCTTATTTGTAGTGCAAGAAACACATATCTTATTTGTAGTGCAAGAAACAATACAATAATTAAAATAGGACAATTTTAACAAATACAAACTTATTAGTATTTCAATGGGAAGTGTGGATCTGCTTTTGAGATAGGATTGTTGTTGTTGTGTTTTCAAGTTGTTTCAGACTTAGGTTAACCCTTAGTGAGGGCCGGGTAAATGACCTTGGAGGGCCATATCCAGCCCCCGGGCCTTAGTTTGAGGACCCTTGCTCTAGAACATGGCTAAACAGCCCAGAAAACTCATAGCAACACAGTGATTTCAGCCATGAAAGCCTTTGACAATACACCAGGAAATAGATGCACTAGATTTGATGGTGCATGAGACTTCAGTCAATACGATATTTATTAAAAGTTTGGCTTTGAATAAAAATGGGGAGGCCGGCCCCCCCAGCTTGGCCTCAGGAAGCGTCACCCCAGGAGGCGCAGGGCGGCCATTGTGGAGAAGCCCAGCAGGAGGGCCAGGACCTTCGGCAGCCGCCCGGGGGCCACGGAAGGGGAATGCAGTTCCTGGGGAAGGATTTCCAGGAAGGTGATGTAGAGGAAGGTTCCTGCAGCCACGCCTTGGAGAAGGCTGCGAGCCCCGTTCTCAGAGGACGGGGAAGAAGGGTCCTGTAAGGTGAGCAGGAGGCCCAGACCCAGGCCCAGCGGGGAGGCAAGGGCAAAGGTGGTCAACGCAAGCAAGGCCGAGCGCAGGGGCAGTCGGCTCTGTGTCAACAGCAACAAGGACATGCTGAGCGCCATGGCCGCCTTGTGGAGCAGGACGGCCCCCGCCAGACGTAGCAGCCTGGCCGCAGTCTCCTGTAGCCCCAGAGCCAGGCCCTCGAAGACTGAATGCAGGCACAGAGAGAGGGTTAGCACCAGCGCACGGAACGGGGAAGATGAAGAAGGATGCGCATGGGACTCGGAGTCCGACAAGAGCGGCTCAGAGGCTGCATCAGTGCCTGGCCTGCCCTCGCTGCAGTCTAGCAGGACATGCTCCACCACCAACACCAGAAGGAAGCCCAGCGCCAGGATCAGCTCCGGAAGAGGGAAGTCTGGCTGCAGAAAGGAAAGAAGGAAGGGGATCAGGAAGGCTGAGGGCCAAGGGGACACGCCACTCCCAAGGCATGCTGGGGGACTCAGTCCACAGCATTCAAGCTCTGACACTTGAGCACTGCCTCCCGATAGCCTTTTCATTATGATTTCTTTATTTACAACATTTATATGCCGCCCTTCTCACCCCAAAGAGGACTCAGAACAGCTTACAAAATATATATACATACAATATATTAAATTATTAGCATAATACAACATCAGTATTAAATATTACTATATTGTACTATACCATTATATTGTAATATTATTAGTAATATTACATGAAATATAAATATATAATTATAATATCACATTATAAGTATTAGTACTAAATTGCATTGCATTATTATTATTACATTATTATTGCTTGTATATTGTTTTCTCTCTAAGACCCCTTTCACACAGCTGCATAAAATCCCAATTGAACCGGATTATATGGCAGTGTGGATTCAGATAATCCAGTTCAAAGCAGATTCTGTGGGTTTTTTCTGTGTCAGGAGCAACTTGGGAAACTGCAAATCGCTTCTGGTGTGAGAGAATTGGCCACCTGCAAGGATGTTGCCCAGGGGACGCTTGGATGTTTTACCATCCTCTGAGAGGCTTCTCTCATGTCCCCACAGGGGGAGCTGGAGCTGACAGATGGGAACTCACTCTGTTCCCCAGATTCAACCTTTCAGTCAGCAGTCCTGCCAGCTCAAGGGTCATTGTGCCACTGGAGGCTCCTTGTGGATTATGGATTATTTGCTTTGATATTCTGGGTTATATGGCTGTGTTGAAGGACCCCAAAAAGGGACTATTTTCCATTATTAGAAAAGGACCCCCAAAGGGCATATAGTTCCAGCATACCTGTCCGAACGTATCTCCTTCTACGTCCCACCTCGGAGTTTACGATCCCCTGGGGAGGCCCTGCTCTCGGCCCCACCTGGTGAGACTGGTGGGGACGAGGGACAGGGCCTTCTCAGTGGTGGCCCCTCGTCTGTGGAATTCACTCCCGGGGGAAATTAGGTCAACAACATCTCTCCTCTCTTTCAGAAGGAAGTTAAAAACCTGGATATGGGACCAGGCCTTTGGGTAAGCTGGCGGATGGATAAAAGACAATGACGACCAGAGTAGGAAAGGACTATGACAATGCTGGATGGACTATGGATTTATGAATTGGCAAACGTTGACCACAAGATGATTTTATTGCTGCTATTGTATTAATTTGATTGTTTTAACTAGTTATAATTGCTGTTGTTATGTTGTATTTTGTATATTGTATTTTATGATTTGTTAAGCATCGAATTGTGCCTTTTGTAAGCCGCCCTGAGTCTTCCCCTTTTGAGAAGGGCGGGGTAGAAGTGCCATAAATAAATAAACAAACAAACAAACCCCTTTGGCCATAAATGAAGACAACATCCAAGCCCTCCAGAAAGATGGTCGTCTAGACGTTGCTATAAGAACAATAATACGTTTTTTGTCCCTGGGTAATAAATCTAATGACTTCCTAATTGGTTCCATTATAAAAAAAAACATGGCCTTTGTGTGCTCATTCCTATTTATTTATTTATTTATTTGGTACACTTGTATACCGCTAATTTCTCAGCCTGGATCGGCGACTCAATTGCGGTTTACAGCAAATTAAAAACAATCTCCAATTTAAAACATATACACATACAATAACAAATTATTGGGCCACCAATAATAATCCCATATGTCTCGAGTTGAAATCACAGTCCAGAGATCGTTGTCCATATTTTCTGTCCATAGTCACCAAGAATCGATTGCCACAGATTAGCCGAATGCTAGTTTGAACAGCCATGTTTTTAGTCTCTTCCTAAACACCATCAGTGAAGAGGCTGATCGTACCTCTATAGGGAGGGTTGTAGTCATCACTGTGTTATTATTATACTTTATTGTTTATATTATTATACATTATTTTTATTTTCAACTTATTGTTATACATTATGCTATTTGTTTATTTATTTATTTATTTCAGAGTTTTCTGTACCAAGCTTCTCAACCTCATTGAGGGACTCAGCCCGGTTTCCAGCCATAAAAAACATATACACTCGTTAAAATATCATATATCACAATTACAAAAACACTATATATAAAACTACAGTGGTCAGTCGTCCTATTAAGATGGATCTACATCAACTTCCATCCAGGGTCCTATGGTGTTGTCTCATTCCTCGAAGGCCTGACCCCACAGCCACGTCTTCACCCGTTTCCTAAATGTTAGGATGGATGGGGCGGTTCTGGCCTCCAGAGGGAGAGAGTTCCAGAGTCGCGGGGCCACCACCGAGAAGGCCCTGTCCCTCGTCCCCACCAGGCGCGCTTGCGAGGCCGGTGGGACCGAGAGCAGGGCCTCTCCAGATGATCTTAGTAAACTTTATTTGTACTCCGGTAGCATCTCCCGAAGGACTCGGTGCGGCTTTATGTTCTGTTATTCATATTGTATTCAACTTATTATTAATTACACTCCATAACATGTTTTTAAATGTCAGCCTTTCTTCATTAGTTCTCTCATAACATGGAAAGAGTTTATTCAACTGCAAAAAAGGTGTGACAAGGTGTGATTGTGGTTCGCATGCCTTGATTACCGAGAGGCTCCGGGTCTGGAGGCGGAGGTCTTCGAGGGAGTCCGGCACGACGTCCAGGAGGCAGGCGGCCAGGAAGACCCCTCCGGCGGCGCAGCTGAGCAGGCTCCGGATCCCGGCTCCGCTGCCCGGGGCCCCTCGCAGGCGGCGGCGGAGGAGGACTGCGGCCGGGAGGATCCCGCAGAGCAGCGGCACGAGGGCCAGCGCCACCAGGCAGCCCGCCTTGAGGCCCAGCAGAGCCGGGACCCCCATCACGGCGCCCTACCCGCCGGCCGCGGAGGCATCAGCGGTAACAACAACAGTGAGGAAGGCCCCGCCCTCCCCGCCGCGTTTCAAGCCTGGCGCCACGTGATCCATGCCGAGATCCTATTGGGCAGGAACGCGAGGGGTGTGGTTTCCACAACAGGGGGCGTGGCTTCCCAGACTGATGACCCTGAGTCAGTGACGGAACAAGGATCCTATTGGGCAATAGTGTGAGGGGCGTGGCTTCCCCGGCGGAATCTGCTTGGCTGCTGACCCTGAGTCAGAGGCTGCAGGGACACGTGATCCAGCCAGGCGAAGGGCGTGGCTTCACCGCGGATTCGGCCTTAGCCAGAGGCTTTAAGGGGAGAGCCTTCCGCACCACGTGACGCAGCGGGGCTCCCATTGGTCGGTTGTGCGAAGGGCGTGGCTTTCGCAGCAAGGGGCGTGGCTTCACCAGCGGATTCGGCTTGGCTGCTGAGCCTGAAGGGACACGTGACCTAGCCGGGATCCCGTGTCCCATTGGGCAGTTGTGCGCAGGGCGTGGCTTCCGCAGCAAGGGGCGTGGCTTCACCAGCGGATTCGGCTTAGGCTGCTGAGCCTGAAGGGACACGTGACCTAGCCGGGATCCCGTGTCCCATTGGGCAGTTGTGCGCAGGGCGTGGCTTCCACATCGAGGGGCGTGGCTTCACCAGCGGATTCGGCTTGGCTGCTGAGCCTGAGGCTGCAGGGGCACGTGACGCAGCGGGGCTCCCATTGGGCAGTTGTGCGCAGGGCGTGGCTTCCGCAGCAAGGGGCGTGGCTTCACCAGCGGATTCGGCTTAGCTGCTGAGCTTGAGTCAGAGGCTGGAAGGGGGGAGTCTTCCGCGTCACGTGACGCAGCGGGGCTCCCACTGGCCTGCTACAAGAAGCACTGCCTGAATATCCAAGCAAAAAGTGGGTGCTAGAAACAATATCATATGAAAGCTGACTGGCACAACCTGGGGATCACAACCAGACACAGTGAAGACATCTGCCCTTGCGCTGTGCTACTCTGCTGCTGAGTATGCATGCCCAGTGTGGAACACATCTCACCACACTAAAACAGTGGATGTGGCTCTTAATGAGACATGCCGCATTATCACGGGGTGTCTGCGCCCTACACCACTGGAGAAATTACACTGCTTAGCCAGTATTGCACCACCTGACATCCGCCGGAAAGTAGCAGCCAATAGTGAAAGGACCAAGGCAGAGACATCTCCAGCTCATCCCTTGTTTGGGTATCAGCCAGCACGTCAACAACTTAAATCTAGAAATAGTTTTCTAAGATCTACAGAGACACTCGCCGGAACACCTCAGCAAGCGAGAGTCCAAAAGTGGCAGGCTCAAACCCAGAACCTCAATCAGAGGACACAATGAGAGACTCCCCCCTGGGCACACAGAGGACTGGGCGACTTGGAAGGCGCTGAACAGACTGCGCTCTGGCACCACGAGATGCAGAGCCAACCTTCAGAAATGGGGCTACAAAGTGGAATCCTCGACATGTGAGTGCGGAGAGGAGCAAACCACTGACCACCTGCTGCAATGCAACCTGAGCCCTGCCACATGCACAATGGAGGACCTTCTTGCAGCAACACCAGAAGCACTCCAAGTGGCCAGATACTGGTCAAAGGACATTTAAGCAACTACCAAACACACAAATTTTGTATTTTGTCTGTTTGTTTGCTTTGTTCTGTTAGAAATGTCATATAATTTGACTGGTTGTCCTGACACAACAAATAAAATACTGGCCTGCTGTGAGAGGGGCAGGGCTTCCAAGTTGGGGGCGGGGCTTGCAAAGGGACTTTGCCCGGCGGCTGACCCTGAGTCAGGGACTGGAGGTGCCTTGCAGCTTCCTCTTTCCGAAGGGGGGAGGGAGGGGCTCCTCCGGTCCCGTGACCTTTCAGCTAGTCAAGGTCAGAAGAAGCGGAAGAGCCATCCGGGCACATACACCTCTCCCTCCTTCCGGCCTAGATCCACATCCTGGCCGCCCTCGAGCTTGTTTACCTGCCTTTTGAGTCTCAGTCCCCCATTGGAGAACCTTCTAACCCTGATATGGGCAAACTTGGGCCCTCCAGGTGTTTTGGACTTCAACTCCCACAATTCCTAACAGCCTCAGGCTTAAGCGGCTGAGGGGGAAAAGGAAAGGGCCTGAGGCTGTTAGGAATTGTGGGAGTTGAAGTCCAAAACACCTGGAGGGCCCAAATTTGCCCATGCCTGTTCTATCCCTTCTAAACCCTGGCTCTCCTTTTCTCGCCCTCCCACCCAATCCCTTCCCCACAAACGGAAGCCAAGAAAGAATGGGAGGCACAAACAAGTCAGTTGCAGTGCGGAGGCTTTATGGGGAGCTGTGCTCCAAGGGAGGAGGGCCTCAGGGCTGCTTCCAGGCCCAGGCTCCCAGGGGTTGGCTCAGCTCAGCTCCGGAACTGGGGCACCGGGGACGGGACGCGGATGTCCTGCCCGCGCTCCAGGCGGCGCTCGCAGTCAATCAGGTAGTTCACGCCGTCAATCACCAACTGGGTCAGCTCCACCTGCAAGAAAGAAAGAAGGTTTGAAGAAGTGACATAAGCGAGGAAGAGCTTGGCCCTGCCCCTTTGCCTCCCTCCCCTTCCCTCCCTTCTTGGGTGAAGACGTGGCTGTGGAGCCAGGCCTTCGATGAATGAGACAACACCATAGGACCCTGGATGGAAGTTGATGTAGATCCATCTTAATAGGACGACTCACCACTGTAGTTTTATATATAGTGTTTTTACTTGTAAGCCTTCTCTGTGGTGGCCCCTCGGCTGTGCAACGGCCTTCCTACGGAGGTTAGATCAGCCCCTTTGCTAATGGTGTTTCGAAGAAAATTAAAAACTTGGCTGTTCGAACGGGCATTCGGATAACAACGCAATGAAGATGATGAATACAGGAACGGAATTATGGATGACGAATTGGATTATGATTCTAGTTACGAGATGTTATTGGACTGTTATTGATGTGTCATTATTGTGTATACTATGTTTTTAATTGATTTTAAATTGTATATTGTTTGATTGACTTTTTATCCTTGTTGTAAACCGCGTTGAGTCGCCTGTTGGGCTGAGAAACTGCGGTATACAAGTAAAGTCAATAAATAAATAAAATAAAATAAATAAAGTTGTTTTTGTAATTGTGATATATGATATTTTAATGAGTGTATATGTTTTTTATGGCTGGAAACCGGGCTGAGTCCCACAATGAGGTTGAGAAGCTCGGTATAGAAAACTCTGAAATAAATAAATAAATAAATACCTCTGATTTGCCCAGGCGGTCCAGGTTGGAGATGTCGAAGGTGCTGCCCGTGGCCGCCGTGTCCACGCCGCCCGTGCCGCGCTTCTGCAGCCGAAGGTTCTCCAGGATCTTGGGGAAGCGGCTGTCCTGGAAACAAGGGAGGGGAGGGGGAGGGGTCAGAGGGGAGGGGTCTCCAGAAGCCCCTCCCCTTCATAGGACATGCCCACTTCCCTGGCCCCGCCTTACTTTGCTGAGCTGAGGCAACTTGATGTGGACGCCGGCGCGCAGGCCCGTGCCCAGGTTGGAAGGGCAAGTCAGGATGTAGCCCAGGCGCTCGTTCCACATGAACTCCCAGCCCCGCTCCTGGATCAGGCGCTCCACCTGCGTGGGAAAAGAGGTGTGGGCGGGGCGCCCTTTGGCCCTGCCCCCTGACACTCCCCCAATGGGAGTGCCGTTATAGGCCCCGCCCCCTGACACTCCTCCACGGGAAGGGTCTGCCTCTTAGGCCCCGCCCCTTGACACTAGTGTAGTAAAGGTAAAGGTTTTCCCCTGACATTAACTCCAGTCACGTCCAACTCTGGGAGGTGATGCTCATCATCTCCATTTCTAAGCCCAAGAGCCAGCGTTGTCCCTAGACACCTCCTAAATCATGTGGCCAGCATGACTACATAGAGCGTTGTTACCTTCCCGCCGGAGCTGTACCTATTGATTTACTCACATAATAATAATAATAATAATAATAATAATAATAACCCGGTGGTGCAGTGGGTTAAAGCGCTGAGCTGCTGAGCTTGTTGATCGAAAGGTCGCAGGTTCGATTCCGGGGAGCGGCGTGAGCTTCCGCTGTCAGCCCTAGCTTCTGCCAACCTAGCAGTTCGAAAACATGCAAATGTGAGTAGATCAATAGGTACCGCTCCGGCGGAAGGTAATGGCGCTCCATGCAGTCATGCCGGCCACATGACCTTGGAGGTGTCTACAGACAACGCTGGCTCTTCGGCTTAGAAATGGAGATGAGCACCACACCCCAGAGTCAGACATGACTGGACTTAATGTCAGGGGATTACCTTTACCTTTACCTATACCCCACTCCATCTCCCCCAGGGGGACTCGGGGCAGCTTACATGAGGCTACGCCCATCAACACAATTAACACAGTATACATGAACATAAAATGCAAAAACCAATATAAAAAAAACAACACAACAATATGAAATCAAACACAAAAAATGTCCTCAGGGCAGGACCACTTCAGAATAAAAATTAAAAATTTAAAAACAGTGGGAAATAGGCAATGAAGGATTGTCATGATGGGGAACCAGGAATGAGGAGGGATTTAATTGAGGTCATTTTGGACTTCTGAGGTCAGTGCTTCTGAGGTCATTTTGGACAGGGAGGGTCCTACATTCAATCATTGAAGGCACATTGGAATAACCAGGTTTTCAGCTTCCTCCTGAAGATTGCCAGCGAGGGGGCTTGTCTAATCTCTCAGGGGAGTGAGTTCCAGAACCGGGGGGGCCACTACCGAGGAGGTCCTCTCCCTCGTCCCCACAAGTCGCACTTGCGATGCAGGTGGGAGCGAGAGAAGGGCCTCTCCGGAAGATCTGCTAAGCTGGCAGAAGCTGGGGTTGACAGCGGAAGCTCACAATACTCCCCGGATTTGAATCTGCAACCTTTTGCTCAACAAGCTCAGTAGCTCAGCGCTTTTACCCACTGCGCCAACAGGGGTTCCTGACACTACTGTATTGGTCTCTTAAACGCCACCTCCTAACACTCTCCCAATTGAAGGGTCTCTCTAAGGCCTCGCCTACAACCCCCCTTGAAGGGTCACTCTTAGGCCCCCTCCCCATGACACTCTCCATGAGAAGTCACCATTTGTTTCAATTTGATGTTTAATGTTTTGTCTGTTATAACAGGCTGTGCTTTTTATTTAATTTTAGTTTCTTAAGTTATAATTTGTATTATATGTTGGGTTGTATAAATTTTATCAGTATGGATGTGTTGTTGTATTCGGGCACTGAATGTTTGCCTTTTATGTTTGGAATCCATCCTGAGTCCCTTTGGGGAGATAGAGCAGAATATAAATAAAAGTTTTATTATTATTACTAGCTGTCCCCTGCCACGCATTGCTGTGGCCCAGTCTGTGTATATGTCGGTGTCTATATTTGTGTATATGCGTATATATGTGTTTGTGTATATATGTGGTTTTGTGCATTATTTTTTGGCTTTTTAAGTCCCTTCTGCTGTGTTTTTCACTGTTTTTATGAGTGACGGTCACTCCTTGACCTGATAGGTGTCTTGTGTCCAAATTTGGTGTCAATTTATCCAGTGATTTTTGAGTTATGTTAATCCCACAAATGAACATTACATTTTATTTATATAGATTATTATTAGGCCCTGCCTCCTGACACTTCCCCACTCAAAGAGTCTCTCTCTTAGGCCCTGCCTCTTGACACAAGTGGATCGGTCTCTGGGCAACCCCCTCCTCCCCAAACAAACCCCAAATGGATGTGTCACTCCGAGGCCCTTGCCCTTGAACTCTCCCCACTAGAATGTCAGTCCTAGGCCCCGCCCCCAGACACTCCCCCAGGAGAAACATCCTTCTCAGGCCACGCCCCCAACACACCTCTTTCTTAGGCCCCGCCCCTTGACACTAGAGGATGGATCTCCTAGGCCATGCACCCTTGACACTCCCCCAGAGGAAGTGTCACTCTTAGGCCACGCCCCCTAACATGTGGAAGACTCATTCTTAAGCCCCTTCTCTTGACACTCCCCTCAGTGGGAGAATCAGTCTTAGGCCCCTCCCTCCCCCAAATAAAAGAGGCCAAGAGCACCCCCCCGGCCCACCTCCTTCAGTCCGCGGCAGAAGCGCTCAAAGACCCTCTTCATGTTGCCGCCCTTCTCCATGGAAATGACACGCGTGTGGTCCTCCTCGTTGACCCAGACCAGGAAAGTCTTCTCGTGGTTGTGCCTGGAGGTGATGGGAGGGAGGAGGGGGTCAGTGCAGAGTGTGGGGGTCACATAGAGCAGTGGTTCTCAACCTTCCTAATGCCGTGACCGCTTAATACAGTTTCTCATGTTGTGGCGACCCCCAACCATAAAATTCTTTTTGTTGCTACTTTATAACTGTAATTTTGCTAATGTTATGAATGATAATGGAAATATCTGATATGAGGATTATTTTCATTCACTAGACCAAATTTGGCACAAATACCCAATACATCCAAATTTGAATACTGGTGGAGTTTGGGGAAAATTGACCTTGACATTTGGGAGTTGTAGTTGCTGGATTTATAGTTCACCTAAAATCAAAAAGCATTCTGAACTCCACAAACATTAGAATTGGGCCAAACTTCCCACACAGAACCCCCATGACCAATAGAAAATACTTTGGTGACCCCTCTGACACCTCCTCGTGACCCCCTCAGTGGTCCTAACCCCCAGGTTGAGAAACACTGGCATAGAGACACCCCCCCCCCCTTCCCAGCCTGATCCTCCGCAGACTACGAAGCGAGTCCCGTACCAGATGCCACGGGCGTCGGGCCAGTCCCGGGCCATCCCTGCGGCTGTCAGCAGCGGGGAGACGGGCTTGTCGAAGAGGAAGTGGTCCTAGGGAAGAAAGCAAAGAAGGGAGGAAAGGGGGCTTTAATCTGTGAGACTAGCCACCCAGTGAGAACTGCCCCTGAGCCAGGTGTCACTCCCTCTGACCGCCTCCAAGGATGTACGGGCACCAAAGATCCCGAAGGCCATCCAAAATGCTTTGGCCACAACACTCATTACTGGAAGGCCATCCTGAGAGTGCTTCCTCCCAAAGGTCAGAGTTATTTTAAGAGTGAGGACCCTCATTCCAGCCCCAACCTTCAAAACCTACAATAACTGTTACGGATATCTACCCTTCACACCCTAAAGCAGGCATGAGCCAACTTGGGCCTTGCAGGTGTTTTGGACTCAAACTCACACCATTCCTAATAGCCTCAGGCCCTTTCCTTTCCCCCCTCAGCCGCTTAAGCTGGGAATTGAAGTCCAAAACGCCTGCAGGGCCCAAGTTGGCCCATAGTAATAATAACAACAATGATAGTAATAATAATAATCTATACTCCACCACCATGTCCCCAAGGGGGACTCGGGGCGGCTTACATGAGGCCAAGCCCGGTAATACATTACACAAAATAAATACAGAATGACAAAAAATAACATCACAATAAAGTAAGTTAAAATATAAGAGCAAAATAAAACAGGCCAAAATAACAAAGTGAAAAATCAAACACAATGGGCGTGCCAAATGTATGACATAAAATGATAAAACTCTGCATGAGTAGGTTTTATCGGGCTATATGGCCATGTTCGAGGCATTCTTTCCTGACATTTTGCCTGCATCTATGGCAAGCATCCTCAGAGGTAGTGAGGTCTGTTGGAATCTAGGAAAATTGGGTTTATATATCTGTAGAATGACCAGGGTGGGACAAAGAACTCTTGTCTGTTGGAGCTAGGTATGAATGTTTCAACTGACCACCTTTGATGGCCTGGCAGTTGTTAGGTGTGGCTTGTCAGTGCCTGGGGGAATCTTTTGTTGAGAGGTGATTAGCTGTCCCTGATTGTTTCCTCTCTGTTGTTTTACTGTTGTAATTTTAGAGTTTTTTAAATACTGGTAGCCAAATTTTGTTCATTTTCATGGTTTTCTCCTTTCTGTTGAAATTGTCCACATGCTTGTGGATCTCAATGGCTTCTCTGTGTAGTCTGACATGGTGGTTGTGAGAGTGGTCCAGCATTTCTGTGTTCTCAAATAATATGCTGTGTCCAGGTTGGTTCATCAGGTGCTCTGCTATGGCTGACTTCTCTGGTTGAAGTAGTCTGCAGTGCCTTTCATGTTCCTTGATTCGTGTTTGGGCAAGGCTGCTGCGTTTGGTGGTCCCTATGTAGACTTGTCCACAGCTGCATGGTATACGGTAGACTCCTGCAGAAGTGAGAGGATCCCTCTTGTCCTTTGCTGAACGTAGCATTTGTTGGATTTTCTTGGTGGGTCTGTAGACAGTTTGTATGTTGTGTTTCCTCATCAGCTTCCCTCTGCGGTCAGTGGTTCCCTTGATGTATGGCAAGAACACTTTTCCTCTGGGTGGATCTTTGTCTTGACTCTCGTGTAAAGTATCCATGCTTCTTAGCTTACTTGAGAAAACCTTTATGGGGGCATGGCGGGTGTGGTAATTGGCTTTGGGTGGAGTCCCTTCAATAGAAACTCCACCCAAAGCCAATTACCACACCCGCCATGCCCCCATAAAGTCTCTTACTGAGTCCTTGGCTAAGCCCCATTTATCCATTTAGTTAGGATGGCTTTAGTTCCTCTTGTCTAGTTTTCTATGCGAAGGAACCTCGGATAGATCTGGTCTCTTTAAGAAATCCCCTAGAAGCAGTCTTACAGCCTCTTCTATGGATTACTTTTACAGCACCAAGGTGTCCTAGGAGAGTGGCAATATCTCTCACATCCAAGGTATTGAGGGTAAAGACTCAAATATAAGGTGTTTTGCAGAAAACGGAATCTAAAATAGAACCCAGATGGAAGCCAGGAAAGGGGATCTTTTTGGAAGCGGTCAAGAAGAAATCAGATAATTATCAAGTTTCCTACTCACGTCAATGAGCTGCTGCTGCTCCTTGTCGGTCATCTCGCTGAGGCGGTAGTACTTCCCAGCCAGGTCACCAGTCAGCCCGCCTAGCGCTTCAGCCGTGACCTTCTCCACTTCGCGGCGTTCGGCCCGGGTGCAGGCGGGGGGAAGGCTCAGGCCACGGATGCTGCGCCCAGTGCGCACGCGGGAGGACAGCACATAGCGCTCGTCAAAGTGGCCGGCCTTGATCTGAGGGACACAAGGAAGGTGAGGACCTCTCTAGCTGGGAATTGGAAAGGCACCGCCCTCAACTACACTCCCCAGAATTCTGCAGAGGGCAGAAGATCCTAAGAAAGCACCCCCGAGCCTGAGAATAATAATAATATAATAGACTTTATTTATACCCTGCCACCATCTCCCCAAAGGGGACTTGGGGCGGCTTACATGAGGCCAAGCCCAACAGCGGGCAAGTTGCATGCATGGCAGGCCTGGCTCTCAACATCCTAGGGAGTTTTCTTAGGCTGGGATGAGGCATTGCCATCTCTTTCCCCTGACACTCAGCCTAGAGAAGTATCCAACCCAAGTCCTGACCAAGGCTGCCCCTCTTTAACTCCGAAGATCAGACAGGATGTGGCACCTCTGGAGTGCATTCATATCAACAGGCCATGAATACTCATGTGCAAAGCCCTCAGCTCTGTCTCCAGTTACTCAGAGGTGACCTATCCATAAGACTTTAAGTGGATACTATTTCATTGGAGGAAAGGGTGTGTGTGTCAGTGTGTGCACCTTGCTGGCGTCCAGGTCGGTGGGGTGCTTCATCGTCCGGGGGTTGTAGCCATTGTGCCTCTCCTCAATCACGGGATCGAAGATTTCTGCAAATACCTGGAGAAAGAGAGATTGAGAGGGAGGTATCAGTGGATCAATGAAGGTCTCGATTTGGGGGAGGGGGCAGGGCATCATTCGATAGATATGGATAAGCCGTAGGGTAGATCAATCGATACAGGTAAATAGATAGATATGGATAAGTCATGGGTAGGTAAGTAGATCAATAGGTAAGTGTTAACAAATCATAGGTAGATAAGTAGATCAATCAGATAGATAGATATAGATACATCATAGGTTAGTAGATAGATATGGGTAAGATGTAGATAAGCAGATAGATATGGATAACTCATAGGTAAGTTGATTGATAGATAAATATCGATGTCATAGGTAAGCTGATAGATGTGGATAAGCCATAGGTCAGTTGATAGATATGGATAAGTCATAGATAAGTTGATGGATCTGGATAAGTCATAGGTAAGCTAATAGCTCTGGATAAGTCATGGGTCAGTTGATAGATAGATATGGATAAGTCATAGGTAGATAAATCAATCAATAAATAGATAGATATAAATACATCATAGATAAGTATATTGTTAGATAGATAGAGAGAAAGAGAGAGAGAGAGAGAGATAGAATAAGCTATAGGCAGGTAAGTAAATTAATTGATAGATATAAATTCATCATAGGTAAGTAAATAAATTGATAGATATGGGTAAGCCATGGATAAGCGAGTAAATCGATTGATTGATAGATATGGCTGAGATATGTTGTGAGCCTGGGCAACCTGACCTCGTAGGACTCCTCATCCCCAGCCACCATGCCCACAGTCTTGATGAAGGGATGCCCTGGGTTGTCCACCCCGGTCTGGATGCACTGGTCAAGGGTCCACCCGCTGGGTGTGGACTTGTCACACAGCTGGGCATAGATGGCAGGCGTCAGGCTGCTGGCCATGCAGTTGTTGTGTTTGCGCAGGTCTGGGTATTCAGCGCTGGACAAAGAGAAGGGAGTGGGGCAGGAAATGGAAGACGGTCAGGAAAAGCCCCAAGAAATGCACACAAATGGTCCCAAAGGCCTTTCTGGCTTCTTTACTGTCTTCTTGGAGGATTCAATCTCTTTCTGTTTCCACTCAAGAGGTGCTTCATGGCCATTTGGGCCCTTCTACACTGCCATGTAAAATCTGCACTGTATTGTTGAAGGCTTTCATGGCTGGAATCACTGGGTTGCTGTGAGTTTTTCAGGCCATATGGCCATGTTCCAGAAGCATTCTCTCCTGACGTTTTGCCAACATGTATAGCAGGCATCTTCAGAAGTTGTGTCGTATATTGGAAATGAAGCAAGGGAGGTTTATATAACTGTGGAATAATGTCCAGGGTGGGAGAAAGAATGCTTGTCTGTTTGAGGAAAGAGTGAATGTTGCAATTGGCCACTTTGATTAGCATTTAATGGCCTTGCAGCTTCAAAGCCTGTCTGGTTGCTGCCTGGGGGATCCTTTGTTGGGAGGTGTTTTCCTCAGAAAACAGGAATTCCAGGCAGGAAACAATCAGGACCAGCTAACACCTCCCAACAAAGGATTCCCCCAGGCAGGAAGCAGCCAGGCTTTGAAGCTGCAAGGCTATTCAGTGCTAATCAAGGTGTCCAACTGCAACATTCACATTTGCCTCAAACAAACACCTTAGACATTCCAGAGATATATAAACCCCACTTGCCTAGTTTGTAACAGATCTCACAAACTCTGAGGATACCTGCCATAAATGTGGATGAAACATCAGGACAGAATGCTTCTGGAACATGGCCATACAGCCCGGATAACTCAGAGCAACCTTAAATCTACACTGTCTGGATTGAAACTGGATTACATGAATGTACACTGCCATGTAATCCACTTCAAAGCAGATAATATAGACTTTATATGGTGGTGGGGGGCTTAGAAGGCTGTTAATAAGGAGAAACATGGGGGTGCCAGTTCTTGGAAGGAGCTCTAAGGAGGGAGAAAGGGAGGGAGGAGGGAGCGGCCACTGCGCATGCTCCAGGTGTGAAGGCACCTGCCCTGGCTTGCCCCACCCCACCCTCCGTCCTTCAGCTGCCCTTCCTCCTGCCTCTCTCTCCCTCCTGGGGTCATAACCTCCCTGTCTGGAGGAGGAGCCAAAGGACTCGGGGGGGGGGAAGGAGGGGGCAGGCGAGGGCATCCATTCATTCATCCCAGAGGCAGGCCAGGGCTTTCCTTAATCGGCTTAAGCGTTGCTGCCTGCCGTGCTGTCTCCTCACCTCCTCCTTCCCTTCCTTTTCGGATTAGAGGGGCTTTGAGCTGACCTTCATTCCGGGGAGAGATGGAAGGGGGGTCTCCAAAGGCCCTTGCAGTTCATTGGGTGGAAAGGAGGGGGAAAGTCAGAGAGGGAGGGGCTGCTGAGGCACTGGGGTGGGGGTGGGGAGAGGGGCTTCCCTTCCCCCTCCTTTTCTCCCTTTCCTTCCTTCCTATTCCCTTCCTGCTCCCTATGCTGCTTCGAGTCTCCTTCTGGAAAGGCGGGGTATAAATAAACATGATAATAAACATGATAATAACCTATATACTCAAATATAAGCCAGCCAGGACCCTCACTCGAAAATAAGCCAAGAGGGGGCTGTTCAGTCCTAACAAAGGGCTGAAAAACTCAGTTTATACTCAAATATATATGGTACTCGAGTATAAGTTGACCCTGACATAAGCTGGTCAGGACCCTCACTTGAGTATAAGCCGAAAGGGGCATATTCAACCCTTAAAAAGGTCTGAAAAATGCGGCTCATACTCAAGTATATATGGTAATTGAGTATAAGCCGACCCAAATACAAGCCAGTGAGGACTCTCACTCGAGTATAAGCCAAGGGGGGCTTTTTGAAACCTAAAAAGGACTGAAAATTCAGCTTATACTCAAGTATATATGGTACTCAAGTATCAGACGACGTGAATATAAGCTGGCCAGGATCCTCACTCGAGTATAAGCCAAGGGTTTCTTTTTCAGACACAAAAAAGGTTGAAAAACATGGCTTATATTAGAGTATATACAGTACTTTATAAGCCTACCTGAATATAAGCTACCCAGGACCCTCACTCGAGTATAAGCCGAGGGGGGCATATTCAACCCTTAAAAAGGCCTGAAAAACTCAGCTCACACTCAAGTATATACGGTAATCGAGTATAAACCAACCCAAGCACAAGCCAGTGAGGACCCTCACTCAAGTATAAGCCAAGGGTGGCTTTTTCAGCCCTATAAATGCCTGAAAAACTCAGCTCATACTCGCATATATATGGTACTTGAGTATAAGCCGACCCAAATACAAGCCGGGCCACACCCTCACTCAAGTATAAGCCAGGGGGGGCTTTTTCAGACCTAAAAAAGGGCTGAAAAACATGGCTAATACTAGAGTATCTATGGTAGAGTATAAATCGACCCTAATATAAGCCGCCTAGGACCCTCACTCGAGTATAAACCAAGGGTGGCTTTTTCAGCCCTAAAAAAGGGCTGAATAACATGGCTTATACTAGAGTATATACGGTACTTTAGTATAAGTCAACCCAAATATAAGCCAGCTATTGAGTATAAGCTAAAAAGGGGCTGAAAAACACAGCTTACGCTCGAGTATATATGGTATATTCCTTCCCTCCTTGGTGCTTCTTTCCTCCCTAACCCTTCCCTTCCCTTCCCTACCTGGGCGGATAGAGCCTCCTGTTGGCTTGGGCAGAGGCGGCATCCTTCTTGCGGGCCAAAAGGAACCCTGCAGCAGCCAGGGATCCTGCGGCACCTGCCAGGGCCAAGAGACCCGCAGAACGCCTGGCAGAGGAGGAAGAGAAGGCCAAGAGCCGTGCCGCAAAGACATTCCTCCCGCTGCCGATGCTGCTGGTGGCGGTGCTGCTGGCCATGGTGCTGCTGGCTTGGGCTGTGGAGGAAGGCGAGGAATGCGGAGAGGGAGAGAGAGAGGAGGAGGGAAGGAGAGGAGAAGAGAAGGAGGAGGGAGGGGAGATGGCAAAGGGAAGGAGGAAGGAGGGAGGGAAGTGGCTTGATGCCAGAAGACAGGGAAGAGAGGGAGACAGGCGCTGCTGCAGCTTCAGCACCAAGGACAGCACCAGCAGAGGAGGAGGGACATGAAGAAGAAGGAGAAGAAAAGGGGGGAGAAGAGGAACCCCCTCCCACACCAAAGAAGGGAGGGAGGGAGGGAAGGGGAAAAGGGGAGAGCGCTTTGCACGCGCCCAGAGACTGCTCCCCTCCCTCCCTTCTTTCTTTGGCTCCCAGCCACCGGGCAAAGTCCTTCAACCGCAGACAAACCTGTCCTGCCGCCACTCCCTTCCGCCCTTTCTTCCACCTTTCAGACTGAGATCTTATTAACAGCCCAATTGGGGGACATGAGAGAAGCCTCCCCGCAGGAGAACATATCCAGGTCCCCCCCTGGGCAACGTCTTTGTAGACAGCTGATTCTCTCACATCAGAAGCGACTTGCAGTATTTATTTATCGTGTCATCAGCAACCATACCATTGTATTACAATTCTAACAGAACAAAACAAACACACAGATTAAAAAGAAGAAAAAACACACAGATTTTGCAAACTTGGTAGTTGGTTAAATGTCCTTTGACCAGTATCTGGCCACTTGGAGTGCCTCTGGTGTTGCCGCAAGAAGGTCCTCCATTGTGCATGTGGCAGGGCTCAGGTTGCATTGCAGCAGGTGGTCTGTGGTTTGCTCTTCTCCACACTCGCATGCCGTGGATTCCACCCTGTAGCCCCATTTCTTAAGGTTGGCTCTGCATCTCGTGGTGCCAGAGCGCAGTCTGTTCAGCGCCTTCCAAGTCGCCCAGTCTTCTGTGTGCCCAGGGGGGAGTCTCTCATCTGGTATCAGCCATTGGTTGAGGTTCTGGGTTTGAGCCTGCCACTTTTGGACTCTCGCTTGCTGGGGTGTTCCAGCGAGTGTCTCTGTAGATCTTAGAAAACTATTTCTTGATTTAAGTCGTTGATGTGCTGGCTGATACCCAAACAAGGGATGAGCTGGAGATGTCTCTGCCTTGGTCCTTTCACTATTGGCTGCTACTTCCCGGCGGATGTCAGGTGGTGCAATACCGGCTAAAGCAGTGTAATTTCTCCAGTGGTGTGGGCAGACATCCTGTGATAATGCAGCATGTCTCATTAAGAGCCCCATCCACTGTTTTAGTGTGGTGAGATGTGTTCCACACTGGGCATGCGTACTCAGCAGCAGAGTAGCATAGCGCAAGGGCAGATGTCTTCACTGTGTCTGGTTGTGATCCCCAGGTTGTGCCAGTCAGCTTTCGTATGATGATGTTTCTAGCGCCCATTTTTTGCTTGATGTTCAGGCAGTGCTTCTTGTAGGTCAGAGCACGGTCCAAAGTGACTCCCAGGTATTTGGGTGTATTGCAATGCTCCAGTGGGATTCCTTCCCAGGTAACTGAATAAACAAGCAAACAAATGCTGTATTCTCAATTTGCTTCTGACATGATAAATAAACAGCCCAATGTGGAGCCTTTCTAATGGTCCGATGGGCCTCATTACATATACAAGCAGACCGCCATAGAGGACGGAATTCTCCAACGACTGGAGAAATTACCAACACATGACTTACAAGTGACCCAGAGTTAAGAACGGGACTGGATCAGCCCGAAGGTGACTCAGGGCAGCGTACAAATTGGCAACAATTAGATGCTATATATAAATACATACATCGGTTAAAAGCAAAAAAAAAATCACATAGTACATTTAAAAACCATAAAAGCAATAAATAAAAATGATAAAACTATGTCTTCTTGTTCAACTCCTCAACCGTTTCCATCGTCTTAGCCGTTCCTAGTTCATATTCTAATTTAAGTTTATCTGGTCATGCTGAAGTTTCAAACGCTTGCTCAAAGAGCCAGGTTTTCACTCTTTTACAAAAAGTCAGGAGGGAGGGGGCCAATTTAATATCCCTAGGCAGGGAGTTCCACAGCCCTAGGGAGGCCCCGCCGGACATGCCTGTGAAGCAGGCGGGATCGAGAGCAGGGCCTCCTCAGACGATCTCCCTGAAGACACAGGTATGCAGCTTGGGGGGGGGGGGTCATCCTGGATTCATCGCTGACCTTGGAACTCCAGGTGTTGCCCATACCTGGAGATGCCAATTCTGGTAGTACATGCCTTCGTTACATTCTGATTGGACTACTGCAATGCTCTCTAAGTGGGTCTGTCTTTAAAGAGCACTTGGAATCTTGAGCTGGTTCAGAGATCAGCAGCCAGGCTACCAATGGGTTCATTTCCTTGCTGCGGTACCTTCATTGGCTTCCGGTTTGCTACTGGGTGAAATTTAAAGTGCTGGTTTTCACGTTTCTCAAGCGCTCCTGGCATGAAAAAAAATCTGGAATTACACTTAAGACATGTAACTCTTCTGACTTGCAAACAAATTAAACTTACAAAAAAACTTACAGAACCTCTCTTACATGTAGTGTGGGGACTGGCAGTATACAAACATATATAAACACCTTTTTTACATTAAAATTGAAACAGTGACCATGGAGAGGGGGAAGGCTGCTCCAAGAGAGGAAGGAGTGGGGAGAGTAGAAAGGAGACACTGCAGAGAAAAGGGAGGCCCCTTTCACACCAATCAGGGTTCTTTTCACATGACAAGTGATGAAGTCGAGGAGGAATTTAAAAGAGTCTGGCCCTGAAGGAGAGACCCTGCGGACCTACCAAAGAGAGCTCGCTACAATGGTGAGCAAGAGAAGCCGCAATTTAAAAGATTTCCCTAAGTTCCCAAAAGAATCTCACCAAAGTTGAAGGAAGTGCCACCAAGATGATTTTATTGTGATTCAGCTGGAAAGGATGCAAAGCAGCAATATTTCGCCAAGCTAAGCATAACATGTACACAACTAAAAGCCTTTTTTATACAGAAACAGAGTTGTCAGGTTTGAATTTCCCACTCCATGACCCTCTGCTGGCTTGATGGTGTTTGGCTGATGCCTCTACAGCTGGGAGGAGTTTTGACCACCTCCTGAGCGCCTGGGCCAATCACTGGGCTTCTGCCGCCTCGGCGCCCTGACGAATCAGGAGAGAGGGAGGTGGGACAAGGGGAAACAATGCATTCTTGAGTGGATTAAGGAGATTATGAGATGTCCAAGTGACCAGCGAGTCTCGGGGGCCTGCAAGCCAGCCTTTGCTATTGTTATTGAGTGGCTGCAATAAACGTTGAAGTCTAGCAAGCCTGCCATAATCCGGATTTTTCGATCATGGCTCAATATATGTCCATAGTTCATTATAGGAAAATCCATAGACGAAACTATGTCCTTAAAGGGGAGAAAAGTCTTGATGTGGGGCAAAAAGATTCAAAAAAATCATGAGGAGAGGCTTGGGGATTCCACTAAGCCAAGATATGGAGCTCTGCATCACTGAGGCTGAAGCTTGTCCTTTGGTCCTTGGAGAACTATAACTCCCTCCAAGGGCTGGAACCAGGTGGCAGATCCACTCCCCGATGGCCTCATGGGGTGACTACATCAAGTCTCCGGGTCCTGCGATGGCGGGAGCAGCGCAGCAGCAAAAGGGCTCGGTTTGACAATCAGCTGTTTTCCTTTTAAAATATATTCTCAAAAATAAAAAGGTTATTTCCAAAGGGCAGGAGCCCGAAATGCAAAAAGCGAGATAGCAGAAAGTGTTAGAATTCAGCTAGGAAAAATATGGCACCAAAATGGAGTCGTTTCGTCAACTTGTGGATATGGGGGCCCAAGGGGTTTCCATATCCGCGTTTTGAAGAAACACAGATTCAGCCTCCCTGGGACGCTTGGAAGGCATCCCAGGCGGACCAGCGGCTGCCCGCGGCCTGGAAAAGGGTAAATTCATGCATTACATACTGGCGAGTCAGGAAAAGGACGCAATGTATCACTATGAAGAGGTGAAAGTTACAATTTGTCTTTATTACTGGTTGTGTTACAATGTTTGGGCTGGGGAGAGAAGCAAAAGGAGAGAGCTCAAGACTGCAAAGAGTCCTTGGTTGAGGCTGCTGCTGGGGCACATTTCATCAGCGCTGGCCCAACGGGGTATCCAGGAACTGCGGAACTCCCTGCAGCTGGTCAGATTAGCTGGAAAGCAGGGGTCTGGGGCGGATTCGACCTCAGTGACAAAAAAATATATAAACACATCTTCTTGTTCTGCATACAAATGTTGCAAGAAATCTGTGGGAAAAAAATCCAAAATGCAATTATTATTGTGTTGTTGAAGGATTTAATGTCCGGAATCACTGGGTTCCTGTGAGTTCTCTGGGCTGTACAACCATGTTCCAGAAGCATTCTCTCCTGACGTTTCACCCACATCTATGGCAGGCACACTCAGAGGTTGTGAGGTCTGTTGGAAATTGGGCAAGTGAGGCTTATATATCTGTGAAATGTCCAGGGTGGTAGAAAGAACTCTTGTCTGTTGGAGGCAAGTGTGAATGTTGCAATTGCTCAGCTTGATTACCATTTAATGACCTTGTAGCTTCAAAGCCTGGCTGGTTTCTGCCTGGGGGAATCCTTTGTTGGGAGGTGTTAGCTGGCCCTGATTGTTTCCTGCCTGGAATTCCTGTTTTCTGAGGAAAACACCTCCCAACAAAGGATCCCCCAGGCAGCAACCAGACAGGCTTTGAAGCTGCAAGGCCATTCAATGCTAATCAAGGTGACCAATTGCAACATGCACACTTGCCTCCAAAAGACAAGAGATCTTTCTTCCACTCTGGACATTTCCCAGATATATAAACCTCACTTGCCAGATATATAAACCTCACTTGGGGAGATGGTAGCGGGGTATAAATAAAGTATTATTATTATTATTATTATTCTCCCACCCTGTACAGATATATAAACCTCACTTGCCTAGTTTCCAACAGACCTCACAACCTCTGAGTGTGCCTGCCATAGATGTGGGTGAAACGTCAGGAAAGAATGCTTCTGGAACATGATTGTACAGCCCAGAAAAGTCACAGGAACCCAGTGATTCTGGACATGAAATCCTTCAACAACACAATAATTGTATTTTGGATTTTCCCCTCACAAATTTCTTCTGGCTCTGATTTATTCCTTTCTGGAATAAATCAATAAATTAAATGTACACACTATCTGACATGGGAAACAGAGGCTGGATGGCCATCTGTCAGGGGTGATTTGAATGCAA